AACAGGCATTTCTCTCTCATTGTGTTTTATTATTACACATAACTTTATATGGGAACAAGGGGTATCCATGTGGTCAATAGCATGTACAACACATGGATGAAAATATTGATATGTAACAGATTCTATAGCATGTCTTGACCCCTGGTTTCCAAAAGTGCTTAATTGATTCTGGTACAGATAATATGTACACATTATATGAAGAATAAGAAAAAACGTTATCTGTCACATTGTAGTGTGTTAGTGGTTATTCTTCAGGTGGTTATTAACACTGACTTGCTGATAGGTTAACAAGCATGTGGGAAATTACTTGAGGGATGCAGGTTTTTAAGAGGTTTTTTGAGTTTCTTTTTGGGGTTGTTTTTTGGTTTTGGTTTGGTGTTTGGTTTTTTTTTGGTGAAATGTATATGATAGAGGTTTCAGCTCTGCTCAGGTTGAGATGGGTTCTGTTTGTAGAGAGCTGTATGTTCACAGACATGGTTCTCATAATGTCTATATTAATATATATGAAGATTTCTTTCTTAGAATGAGAAATTCATAGGCAACAGGAATCCACATGCTCCTAATTCAAATTATTTTTGCTCCTAGGCAACTATTTCAGTTGAGTGGTTTCTTTGTATCCTGTTCTTGGAGGGGGCAGCACTGAAACTGTCACTTGGAAGCAACTGCTTTCCTTCCTATCAGAATTTGCTAATACACCATTTTCATTCTTCATCAGAACAGTGCCACACAATTGTCAGATCTCCCATGTCTATAGCTGACATCAGTAAAGAGAAAAAAGAGGAACTTTCAAAACCTCTGCTTTGCTTTAAATATATTTATCTTATTAACAGTTTTTGTTATAAATACTTAGCGTTTAGGCTGGTTTTATGTTTTCATGAAGCTTTTCACTTTGCTTCTGTTCTCTGTTGTTAATGATTCTGAAAAAAGAAACCTAAACAAAAAAACCAAAGCATTTGACTGCTGTGATGCTTTCTGTTGACATAATCATCCTTCTAAACAGATGTTTGTGTCATAGTACATGGTTTTCTTGCAAAATTAAACTAGGAGGTTCTTGGTTAAATCTGAGTTACATGACAGTTTTATGCACATATAAGTGACAGGGACTCTACAATGATGGTTCTGTCTGCATTTTACAGGTGAATAAAATCCTTTCAATTAAAACTTTCTTTGAGAACTAGGAAAGATGACACAAAGCTATGGAGAAGTGTCTGTTGAAACATGCTTGTTTTTTGGCAAAGAAGTTTCTGGTTAGCTATGCTTTGTTAGTGTTTAGTTTTATAGGGGCAGCACTAGCACTCACATTTTCTGAGAGATAACAATTGTCTGAATTATAGCTTAGGTTTTATTCAAATATTTAAAGGTAAAAGCACCATATTTTATTCTACATGTGGGGAATTTTTTGTTGCAGCTAGTTCATTTATTCCCACTGCCTATGACTCAGTTCTGGCATTATAGCCCATTTCCAGGCTTTCACAACTATTATTTTTGGCAGCTAATATTGCCCAGAGCTACCATCTTTCCTTAAACTTATCCAGATCAGGCATTAGTAATAAACCCCATAGAACAAATAAAGCTAGATATGTAGGAATCAAAGACTCTAAGTCAACTAAGTCTTTTGCAAGCTTCAAACTAAAAAGCTTACAGTTTAGACAGTCCCAAAGCATGAGCTGTGTTTTCTATAGGCAATCACATAAAGTGTGTCTTTGACCTTTCACTTCTGATGTGCAGACAGCATCTTGAAACATGCTGTCTCTTGCTCTGGCAGATTTCTTGACATATTACAAAACAGGACAAAATTTGTGAGCAAAAATAAAGAAGAATAATCTTTTAAACATGCTTACCAGCCTGCTTTAACTTTTAGGTGATACAGTCTTTCTGACTACTCATATTGGTGAGTCCAGCAGTCATTCTTGTGCCTTTCCAAATTCTTCATAATTCACTTAAGAAGTTACCATGAAGTTCCTAAAAGGCAGAAATGTTGAAGTACCTACTTTTCTTAATATATATATATATTCCTTTAGAATTACTTACATTCTATGTTACTCCTATTGTAGTGCCACTTACGAAATTCCTTTATTGTCCTCTTTAACTTGTTCTTCTATCTTATAAATCTTAGTGGGAATAGAATTCATCACCTTGCTTAGTCTCTCGTACAATGTCTGCTACTTGCCATTTTAATTCAATTTTGTGAGATTCTCATTAGGGAGAATAGCATATTAAAAAAAAAAAAAAGAAAGTTCTGTTTGAGATGTAATTTTGAAGTAATAAATATCCTAAATAATAGGATAGCTTCATGAGACTTTTGTTGCACACATGTTACTCATTGACAGGAAAAGACAAGTTGGGTGTTGATAGGCAATAGGAGGCACAAGACCAAACCAGCTGTTCAGATATAATCAAATTCCAAAAGAATCTCAAGGTATTTTAAGGACTGAGATTTAGAAATACTCATAAATACATACTGCTGTATGTAGGAGTACCTGTGCAACCATAAAAGCCTGCAACCTTCTGTCAGAAATTATTCAGATAGAAAATATTGCAAGTATTGCAATATTTTAAATAAAATCAAACATAGACTGTAGAGGTTTAAAAGAGAAGTATGTAAGCGTGAATGACTTCACAATGTAGTCTGAAAGATAGCGAATGATGGAAGTCACTGTTTATATGTTCATAGTTAGCATAGGGGAATTCCTTGGCTATATCTGTAATTGAAGGATAGGAACATTGCTGTGGTATTGTGGTCTTCAGTGTTTGTCTACAGGTATTAAACATTAAAATAATTTAATACTGAGAAGTATTGAAATCTAAAACCATAGTGACACAAAGAGCAAAAAAGAATATGACTACAAACACAATAATGTAATATTTCATATTACATATTGCTGCACAGCACCACTGTAAGTTAGCAGCACCAGACCAAGAAGGATGTTTTCTGGGTCATCAAGCCCAGCCTCCTTCCAGTGATTATTAGTGTCTTCTTATTAACAGATCAAGCTTTTAAAAGCAGCTGTCACAAGCACAAAGGCTGTCCTTGAACCTCCCTATCTGTTTCTGTTTGGGTTTCTAGCCTTACACTTTATTCGTAGAGCAACTCGGTTTCAACCCAGAGTTTTTCTGCTATAAACTATTTCTTTCCTGAGGCTTCTGGGTAGAAAAATCATGTTCCTTTTGTTTTCCTTCATTTGGTCCTCAATTCTGCACAGATCCCAGTGTGAGTTAAAACAGATTTAGCATGAAGAATTGGAAATGTGTGCCATATGCCAGATGAGGTGTCTTATACAAGTCAATTCTTATTTGCCCCTTGCCTTTGGAAGTATCTCACCTGACATGTCTCAGAACGGCATTTGCTGTTTCCAGGCATTGTCATACTGCCTCATAATTTTCCAGCTGACATTTATGTATCTATCTTCACCATTTCCAGTTGAATACGCAGCTTATAAACAAATGTGTTGCTATCTTTATATGTACGATGTGTGCTTTTTGATGTTGAAATAATCCCTTTTTCTCAGACTCTAGTCTTTGACATTAAATCAGCGCTCCTGATTGATACTGATGTGTTCCTCTCTGTCATATACGTTACTGGCATCAGAGTTTTGCAAGCCGTTATCAGACACTTCTTTTGTTTGGTTGGTTTTCCTCTATCCTGAACTAAAAAATGTTGGTGACTGTGGTTGCTTTTTGCAGTCTTCAGGTATCATTGTGACTTGACAGATGCAGTAAAAATCCATGTTTCAGGCTCTGTGGTTCCACATGTTAATTCCTCCGGAATTCTTTGGTGATTATTTATGTTCCCTTGCCCTCCCCAGCTTGAACCACTGAGCTCCCTGAATTTTCCTTCTTAACCTTCATTCCTGTTAATTAATCAGCCTGCTGTCACCTTCAAGTGCTTTATAGTCCTTACTGAGTAGCAAGGAAGAATACTTACAGAGCTCTTTCTTCTAGCTGTGCTGAGATTTTCTTACATCCGTACCACATTCTTACTTTTATTCCTGGTTATTTATATATATACATCTATACACAGGCACACAGGGACAAAAAAAAGTAATAGCACATTTTTTTACAATTTGCTTTATGTCAACTTGACTTTTATTATTTCTTGAGCATGTACAAATGCCATAATTGGATTTCTGTATCTTAATTCTAAAATCTTCGTATCTTACCTAGTTTGCATTTGTTTTAAATTCATATTCTCATTCATTTTCATGCTATTATTTAAAAAAAAAAAAAAAAAGAAGAAGAAGGAAAAAGGAGACCTAAGACACAACTCTTTAAAATTTATGCTTTTATTAAAATTTTCTACTGTCTTTAGAAATGTCTCTAATAACATTCTCTCCAGGTCCAGTGATACATCCAGAAATAATCTAAGTGGCCTATTTATAGAATTAAAAATAAGGCATGTAATTAAACAGAAGCTACTATGTATGTATTGGATTTGGGTTCTCAAAATCACACAGTTGTCTGAATAGCATATTCCATGAAAGAAAAGATTATGTGATTACAGGTACTTAATGATTTTTCCCAGGATTTTTATTGATGTGTTGGCCCTCCAGAAGGCATTGTGTTGTCTATCATCATTTTTACTCTGCATCTTTGAGACACAGTATGACAATAAATGGGTACTTAAACTGAGATTTTGTTATGTAATAAAATTCATAGAGCTAGTTTACCTTAATACCATAATGCAATCACATCTGATGAATTTTTTGGCTGCATAATATAAATAATGATCAACTGGATTGTCTTTGTTATTCTTGGGTACTGTGGAACATGTAGCTGTTTCTGTGCCTAGCAAGAGAAAGTTTGAAGTGTTATACTGCAGTGATGCTGTAAAAACATTGTAAGTAATAATAGCACAGAATCAGAGTACTGGTTAAATTCTGGTTTTCTATATGACAGCTTTTAGTTTACTAAATAAACTAAACACTTCTAGTGTGTACAGTAAATACCATTATATTTGTGATCAAGAATAAAGTAATTATGCCTTCTCCCTTTTATCACAGATTCCTTGCAGCTTGGAGTACTGGGATGAGCTTCAGAAATCATTTGTTGCATTCCGGGAATTCAGTCTGTCAGAAAGCAAAGTCTGTGAACTACAACTACCAAGTATCAACCTTGTGAATGATCAGAAAGAGCTCATAGCCTCCGACCTGTGGAGGATTGTCCTGAACAGCAGTCAGAATGTGGCTGATGACCAAAGGTAATTTTAAAGGAGGAGAGAAAAACAGAAATCTAATGCTACACTCTTGAGAGATCTTTTTGAAGAGACTTGGGAAATAAGATATTGTTTTCATATGCGGTAAGAGCAGCTGGTCTTAAATGACCCTCAGACTGTAGTTCATCTTCATGCAAGGGCATGGATTATGCACAAAAAGAGCTCTCTTAGATTTATAGGCAGCCTAACAGCATCACATTCATCTATTTTCTGAATAGAAGGATTACTGTAGAGTGAAGACAAACAGGCCATATCCTGAAACCTCTTAGCCACACAAGGCGGTAAAATTAGCTAGTTAACAAAAGAAGGGTGAGGCACAATCCATTGTATAATGTAGCAGTAAACATTCTTCTTCCATGTACTCCCCATACATCACCTTTAATTTGTCCTCAGTGCAAGTCAATGAGTAAAATAAGCCAAGTGACTATTTTAAATAGATTAAACAAACCTTGAGTACTTCAAGAGCATTACATTGTTATTCACAAAGCTTGCTTACAATGCTAACAGTACAAAAAAAAAAAAAAAGGAAAGTTAATCAGTGTTTCCAAACACTGGGATCCATTTTTCATCATGTTTACATCCAGAAACAATGTACAATAACAAATACTCTATTTGCATTCATTCAGTTTTGGTTAATATGTAGAGTAGGAAGAAATGAGTAGAAGTTCTCTACACAAACAGCAGTGGAATTGCTTTCAAAGATCTTCTTAATATTGTGTAGTTAGAGCAGAAAACCAAGAATGATCCTGTTGGATCATTGGTATTTGCTGATTGTTGCTGCCGGTGTATGAACACATGCTTGAATGACTGTATAGCATCTACATATATGTTACGTGAAGCTACAGAAATCAGAGAAATCAGGAAACATGAAGATGGCTAATGAAATCAATGACGAAAATTAAACATCTGGTTTCCATTAATAGTATCAGGTTGGAAGTGATTTCTTGATGTTAATTGTGAAAGAATGCAGTTTCATCATTGAGAAGTTAAGTGTTTTAGACAAGGTTAATTCCTCTGAATGTGGGACCTTGGCAAAATTGCCTTCCTGGTCAGCTTAACACCACAGAAATGTGAACTCGGTGGGAACTGAAAATGAAGAAGTGAAATTTAGTAGATTTTTTTTTCATAATAAATTTGGCACTGTAATTGTGTTTATTGTTTTCTGCTCAAATAGGGTTCATCACTACATGCAATGTTTCGTTCAGGGACATTTGATAATCTTATGAATTTAAATTGTTCGGAAAGATGCTAAGGTTAAAATGAACTAGAAATAAGTAAAAAAAAAAAAAAAATACTAATATAAAACCAGTTTGGGCTGTGATAAACACCCAAAACATTTTACAGCGCATCAATTCACCTGCCTAGAAAACATGAACTTGTGAGTTTTCAGCTGGGATGCTGCAGGCCTGCTCCATAATAATGACCATCCTCAGTGGTATCAGGGTGTCAAGTTATAAAGGGGTAGAAATGTTCTCATGGCCTTGAGGTACCAGAAGACTCCAGGAAAGACAATTGCTCTGTTCACAGTAATGATATTAGAAGCATAATGTCCTCCAGATTGTGTGTGCACAGAAAAAACTAAAGCAGAAACTACAACTGAAAGAAAAGGAACTAAACTGAAGCATTAGCAGTCACTGAATAGCAGGAGAAAAAAGAAGGCAGCAGAAAACATGCACCACACTGCTGAAGCATTTGGCCGTAAATAAACAAGTCAAAGGAAAGTGTCTTGAACTGCCAGCTCCTTAGGCACATGTACAGACACTGCAGAGTCACTAGTCCTGAATCTTTTGGTGGCCTGAGGAATTTGTAATATTTTTAGGAAGTGTAGTTTACACCTACACAAACTAGCAGTAGACTGGCAATTTAAAGATTCATGTAGGTCAGGGTGAACCATATCCAGAAAACAGAAACCTGAGGGGTATGTGAAGGAAACCTCTGATTTCAGTCAGAGAAGAAAAAAGATTATGTTCCCTGCCTCAGCAGCAGTTTCAGGTAGAAATTTAAACTGATCTCTCTTTATACTAACTTCAAACAAGGCTGCTCTGCAAACTGTCTGAAGGATAACTGCAGGAAGGGCTGGTGTGGAAGAGGTAGCCTTCTAGTAATCTCCAGACCAGTCCTGATCTGGAGAGGGCCTTTTACAATGGCATGTAGGGACATGACAAGGTGGAATGGCTTTAAACTGACAGAGGGTAGATTTAGATTAGACATTAGGAAGAAATTCACTGTGAGGGTGGTGAGGCGCTGGCACAGGTTGCCCAGAGAAGCTGTGGATGCCCCATCCCTAGAAGTGTTTGAGACCAGGTCAGACAGGACTTTGAGGCACCTGGTCTAGTGGGAGTTGTCCCTATCCATAGCAGGAGAGGTTGGAACTAGATGATCTTTAAGGTCCCTTCCAACTCTAACCATTCTGTGTGATTCTGTGACCAGCCTGGGGTGATCCTTCTCAGAGAAACTTAACAGGTCAGAAAAACCTCAGAGGTGAGGCTTTGACCTAAGGTGCTTGAGGCAGAGTCAGTGTCTTCAAGAAGGTCATGCCAGTCACATGTCACTGACCTTGAGGTTTTGTGATTGTTCATAAGCACTGAAATACATACAGTTACAGCTACAGAACAAGTTTAAGGTAACAGTTAAGCCCCAAAGGATCATGTTCTATTAAAGGGAAGCCTTGTTTAGGAGGTGGTGACAGATGCTGTGGACCTGCAGGGAAAGCCAACTTTTCTAGACCCCTCATAGCATATAGGAAGTCTATGTTGGCAGTAACTTTGCTGAAACTTTGGCTTCATCAAACAAACATATTGGTACCAGTATGGATTAGGGTGCTCTTGTGACCGAGCACCCTAAAATGTATTCTGGATTCTACTTGGCCAAAAATGACAAACTTTTTTGGTTTTATGAGAGACTGCCGCATGTCACGGTAAATTTCAGTGCTAGGCTTGTTCCTAAAGCAGACATTTAACATGAGATCTTACAGACATGTGAGAAGACCCACAAGGAGCTGTGCTCAAAGCTAACACCAAGTGTTAGACTAGGAACTTCTGGCTGAGGGATCTGCAAGTGAGAGGATCTCAGGTTTCCTGGAGACTCATAATGATTTGACATTAATTACATGCTGTAACTGTATGATTGATTAGCAAATTTAATTCACTATTAACTGTAAAGTATAAAAATGCTTAGATTTGTTGAAGTTTATTTTCTCAGTTTGAGCTTGCATTTTGAGTCAGACTCTAACAGCTGCCATATGCATGCAGCTGCTCCTCAACGATAATTTTTCCTTCAAATTCTGCAGAGGGTTTTTTTGTGGTAACCTCTTTGATATGCTAATTATTAATAGCAGAGAGCTGATCCCTTGTGTTTTAAGTACTTTATGACTGATTCCTAACATCAATTATAAAGTATGAAACTTACGTGTGACAAGAAAACAACAAGGTTTGTGAGAAGATGTGGATCCAGCTGATATGTTCAGCAGTAGCTGGCAGGCTGAACTATATCAACCAGTAATGAACACAGGAATATGCAAAGATGTCATGATCCAAATCTTGTGGTATGAAAGCTTTTTCTGAGTTCGATCGGGAACTACTTAGAAGTACAAAAATCAAGGAGCTATCTGGTTAAGGACATAATTTTTATGTGTATGTTATTTATTTTTAAGAATTTTGCAGGCCATTCATTATGCAATGAATGTATAAGGCTTGAATGAACATTTGTCAGTGTTTATTCAATGAATAAACAAGTCTGAAGTTCTAAATGAAATAATTTAGCATCCCTTTGGGGATTTAGTATAGTCTATCAAAGGAACCATATATAGCATAAATGACTGTTTATGGAAGACCTTAAAATAGGGGATTAAAAGGAAATTATCATAAAATAAAGTATTTTCATAGGTTGTATTTTTATGCTGCAGTACTAGCAAATTATAATCAAAATTACTTTCATTTAAAGCCCTGTTTGGTTGGTGAGACACTAAAGCCCCTCCTTAGTTTGGTTGGGAGGAGTTTATCATTCTTTGTTTAAGTGGGCTACATTACAAGATGTTTTATTTATTTGTGCATCTCCCGTGTAATGTAAACAGTATTTTTATAATTGCCAACATACTAATGTAAAATAGTAATTGAAAATGCCTTAAGATACAAACCGTGAAACAAGTACAAAAACATTTAAATAAGCCTTAAATTGCTACTTTTTAAAAATTAAAGTGAGGAATCATGATCATGTTTCTTGCTAATTGTTTTAGCTTTTATTCAAAGTAAAAGATGTACTGGATTTTGACCTCTAACAATTTGGGTTCAGACCAGCATTTGAGTCATAAATTAAATGAGTTAAGTGGTCTCTTTCTTCTTCCCAGTGGATATTTTCCCATGTTGCGGTTTCATCACAAATGGCAGTTTTGGTTTAAATATTCCACTCTTAAAATAACAAGAATAATGCAGGTCACTGTTAAGTCATTGTTCCCAGTTGCCATATATTTAAATTGAACTGTTTTGCTTGATACGAAGCTATCATACTTTATAATTACTTTGAATGGAGGTGTTTTCCATTTTAAAAATTCTGTTATTTCACACGATTAAAAAAAAAAAAAAGGCAAAAAGAGATTTCTGCTGTTAAAGTCAGGTCAGTTTTGTTTAGAATTTCCTCTGGTTGTGCTACACCCATCTCTCAGCATGTTGTGCCAAACACAAAGCAGTAGAAGCTGGTTATTCCTTTTCTCCCTAGCTGAAAAACTGTGGACTGTTGACACTTCATTTTATAGCTCCAAAGCAGCCAAGAGAATGTGGGAATTTCTTTTATTCTGTATTCAGTTCATGTACAAATTTTGATTGCACAATCAGATCTAACTCTGATGTAAATGCTCCTGTTGTTCACCAAGTCTTAATAGAAAGTTACCTGGGGTTTCAGTAACTGCTTTATTTTCTGTTTGTGCACAGCATGTGATGTGTCTTTGATTTCTGTGCTCTATGCAAGGTAGAAGGACAAAGTAGCAGTGCTAAAGGTCTGATGGAAGGCTACTAGGCAAAAACTTTAAATGGGATTTAATTTAAAATCGGAGGGTCACACTAGTGATTGTAAGGACTACAGTCCCCCTTTTAAAACTGCCCATGCGATATTATGATCTCTTACTACAGTTCTATTTTGAATCAATAATCAGTCAATCAATCAATTTGTCCCTCCCTCGCATGGAAGAAGATGCAAGGCCAGTTCTGTCCCAGGGAACAACGTTGTCCCATCCTCATTTGCTGTTTCACTCTGGTTATTTTTTTAAGCATATGATTGGACTCTGAAGTTTGTTACGGAATCACTTTAGTGGTGGGCCTTTTTGGTTTCTAAGGGCACTCACTGTCCATGAGCCACTTTGACTCTTACTGTTCCAAACATTTTATCTTCCAGATTATTACTTCTGCTTTGTCTGCTGCTTGTGGGGCAGAAAAGGTTGGAGCAAAGTATGGCTAAATGATTTAAGTTATTTCCCTGGTGTGAAGCTCCTGCCACATTTCCTCCTGCATCAGGCATGTTATGATGCCCTATAATCATTGTGGTTATGAAGGAGAAATGAGAAATGTCCCATCACAGTAAAATGCTTGATAAATAAAAAACAGGTATATAAAATCTGACTAAGTAAGAATTTAGAGATTTTGTTTGGGTTTTTTATTTTATAAAAATACCTATCTCCAAAAAAACATCTTTAAGGAAATTAAAATGCTGAATCACTGATAGGTGACTCAAGGAATAGGCTTCTAAGGAAAATAAATTTATAATTTCAGAATGAACCTCAAATTTCAGAAATAAATGTCCTTCTTTGTTACTGCAGATAGTTCTATAGCTGTTTGTGCAAACTAAGTATTAATTGAAAGTATTAAAACATAATTAAAACCAAAAAGTTCCTCATAGTTTGGTTAACATTTGTTTGTACCTCTCTACCCTTTTTCAGTTTTCCTTCCATGTGTCCCTGAACTTGTTTCTAATCAAAATGCAATGAGCAACAATACTTAAAATATTGACAGTTATTCTGAGAGAACTAACCAGTTTCACAGATTCTAAGGTGTTTAATGGTCTAAATCAGCACACAAATTTTGGTGGCTTTTGGATTTGTTTCCATGCTTTGGTTCCAAACAGTGTAAGGAATATCCATGGCAGAGCAAAGCAAAGCATCCCATTTCTCTGACTTTAGTCCAGTCCCATAGACATTTTATCATGCAAACACAAAGAATAATTTTATTTCCTAATATGCCAGTTCTTAAAAGGCCTACAACACCATTTTCGAAATGTGAATGGGCAATTTGAAGAGGTAAAGCAGCACAGGAAAGCAACTAAAAATCTGATTAAGTTATCTATCTTTCATCCTTCACTGACCTAATCCATTCTTGATGTCTTGTCTTGATTCTTTGATAACGAGATAATTTTAGTTGTGTTTTACTGCTTCAGAAGTATTTTAATTTATGTCCACAAATCTGAACTTGGATTTAAGCTCCATAAATAAATACCGTGCTAGCTAGCTACCATAGCACAAAATAATAGTGATAAATTTACTTATCCATGGAATTTTATGCATTTGCAGCTGACCATCTTGAGTACCCTCTATACTTATTCATAATTTTGCATTAACATGCATGGAATTATGAAAACTTTAGTCCTAAGGGTGTAAGATATGTTGCTTTGAAAACCAATTTAAACTTGTGTTTGAATTTAAAATATCTTTAAAATGTTTATTCACAGGCTTTGTAAAAGCTAATTACTTTCTGCCAAAAATAGCAAGTTGGCCTTAGTCCTTCATTAGATTTTATATTAAAAATAAAATCATTATTTGACTGAGGGTATGGACTTAGCTTTCTTGACTCAAACTAAAACTCTTCAGTGCCAAACTGCAAAGGGAGTCAGAATAAGGAACATTAAGGATAGATTTGGCTTAAATTAGAAAGTTTATTTGTACTTCAGTGGTGTCTTAGCAACCTGTAGAATTGCGATGTAGTGTTAGTTTCTCTCAAGAGACCGAAAGATAATGCTTGGAAATTCATGGCGTCAGGAGCACGGCTATGGGGGAAAAAAAAACTGGGATGGCATTTTAAATGTATAGTTAGTATGTTGTAATAGGTGCTAGTAAAAGGCTCCAGGCTGAGCTTATAATACTCAGAGATGTTTTTTAAATTATGACTGTAGAGCGAGAAGGACAAAGGGAAGAAAGCTTAAAGGGACAGGGTTTATACATAGAAGTAGTTTGATGGTTGTGAATTGGTTTCCTTAAAATGAAAGAAATGTTTCTCTTGACCAGATTAACTTTCAGCTCATTCTTATGGCTTTAGTAACAGTAATGTACTCTGTTTAACTGTATCAACAACTAAAGATACCTGGTATATTTTGGTTTTATTTTCTGTAAATATGCTTCGCTTCTGCGGTTACAGTTTATAAATTGAAAGTGCATCATGATAAGAGCGATGTTGGATTGCAGACTTGTCTGCTATGTATGTTCTGCTTAGGAAAAAGCACATACACTGACATTAGCAGTTAGAAAACCATGACATTGGCTGTGTTGGAAAACCAGCACAGCACATGGCCAAGTCCTGCTGTAAAGCTACAAAATCCTGGAAGCACTGAACTACCATTTTGTTATCTACCTTTCACAGCTCAGAAAGTGAATCTGCCTCACAAAGTGCATGCGATCAGCTTGTGACACCCACCGCATTAGCAGCCTGTACCAGGGTTGACTCCTGTTTTACTCCTTGGTTTGTGCCATCACTAAGTGTGTTGATTCAATTTACCTGTGTGGAAGTCCACCTCTGCCATCATCTTGATCAACTAGGCACAGGTATGTACTCCTTTACATAGAATAATTGAAGTATATGGTTCATACATGCTGCTTAATGACTCTTCTGCTGCCTGTAGTCCACATTTCCTCATTCAAATAGGCATTCTTGGAATAAATTAACACCAGCAGCCACTGGTGGTACAGGCTTCAGGGTAAAATGGATGACTTCGGTGCATTGAGAAAGTACATAGCGTAGGCAGTGGGGCTGCCTGATTAGTCTCCTTCCTCCCTCCAGAATGGGTAACTGTAGAAGTCGTCGTTTTCCGTAGTCTGATCAGGGACAGCAGGTGCCACTTCAGTTTTGAGCCATCTTAATGAATGAATTTGATCTTTTACATTTTCCAGCGTATTAACAGTACTATTAAAATATTTGAAGATTTTGAAACCCTCTTATAGTAGGAATTCCTTGGAAAAGCTCTGAGAACTGCAGATTTAACTGTTATTTCAGTTATGATCACTTTTGGAGCTACATCTGGTTTTGTTCAGTGCTCTCTGTCATTGCATTAATGGCAAATACATTCCGAGAGATCTTTAGATTATTGTCTGATTTTCAAATGCCAGGAATACTTTCGGTGGAAGATGAGCAAATAGCTTAGATAATTTTGACAGGGACAGCTTTCTCCATGAGTAGTTTTTGTGTTTCTGCAAGTATTACAATATATTCATTATCAAATCATACGAAGACTGACACTCAACATCTAGCAAATAATTTCTTGTCTATAGGCTACCTCTATCACTACGTAATCTCCCTCACTATTACACTCCAGTTCCAGATGCTCGGTCTTTAAAATTACATGTACTGGAAAAGGCAAAAATCAGATTAAAATCAAACCCAGCTGTTTCATTTTTCAACAGCAACTGAGTTTATGCTGATGCTGCTGTTGTTATAAGCCTGAAGTTTTGGGACTCTTTTGTGCTATGTTATACATGAAGGGAGCACAAAACTTACTGTATCCATTATGTGTTTGTAGAGCTCGATCCTGGAAAGTGATGAGTGTTTTGGTTCCAAATCAGTACAGCACTTGAGCATATGCAGAGTTTAAGCATGTGAGTAGTTCTAGCAACATAAATAATAACATCAATGGGAATACTCGTATGCTTAATGCTACACAAGTGATATATGTGCCTTGCAGTATCTGCTCCCACAGCACTCATCACTGTGCAGGACTGAGACTTCAACAAACATGATAAAATCGGGTTTTATTGTATATTTCTCATACTTTAGTCTCAAGATATTGTTTTGTTTCATTTCTAGTATTATGGGGTAATATGTGGCATCTCAGTGGGTCTTAAACTCTGTAACTGCAGCAAAGACCATTGTCATTTTGAGGCCTGTTAGCCTGCACAGTCATATGTCAGCAAATATGACATTGCTAATTTTTATTGTATTCAAAATGTGCTATCATATATATCTATTACAGCAAAAATTCTCACAGAAATATGGTCTCTGCTCCAAATAGGTGGCAATCTGAAATATTGTGCAGTGTGCTGATAAAGCAGTTTAGGTGGCTAGTCTATTTATGGTAAAAAGATTTTGGTTTGCAAATTCTTTTTGTTTGCAGCTGCTATTAATTACAGTTCTATTTTCCATCTAATAAACAGTGTGAACAGGATTAATTTCAGATTTCAGAAATGTTGACTCGTATGAATTTTACTTCTTTTCATCATATGTACAAGCAGTTAAAACACAATTTACAAAACGGTACAGAATGTGGCAATGGTGATGCTCTAGTCTTTTTTGTTCATTTACTTTTCAGCACCACCAAAGTTTCTTCAGCCATTTTCATCAGATAAGAACATGCCATCTGAACTGGAATACATGATAATTTCTTTTGATGAGCCTCATATATATCTTCGTCAGTGGAGTGATGAATCAATGTTCCAGGAGATCCAGTTTTCAACTCAAGCTGACTGTAAACTTTTGGAGTGCCGAAACGTGACTATGCAGAGTGTTGTGAAACCTTTCAAAATCTGGGGGCAGATTGCTATTTCCAACAGCACAATGGGAAGGCTATTGGACAGCACAATAATGGTGGACCCCGTTTTCATCAACTTTGGCCAATATGCACTTCATTCTCTAAATACAGCAATTCAAGCTTGGCAGCAGGTAGGCAAAAACAATAATGAGAACAAATGTAGCTATTGAGATAATTTCAGATCAAATTAGAAGACCAATTGCAGTCATTAAAATTATTCCAATATGTAAAAGCTTTAATTTAAAAGTGCTTTTCGCTAATAAACATTAATTCAGTGATAGAAATGAAAATTAGGAGACAATGAATGCTATATGTAAAGGTAAATGTAGCCAGAACTGCTTGAGTTTTAGTGAAACTACATGGATTTATATCAAACTAATCAGGATCTTGGTCTTGAAATGCATAATGTTCCACTAATTTATGAAAAGGTGAATGATGGTGTGTAAGCACAGCTCAGTCTGAGTGCTAGAGTGTATTGTTTCCAGCTACTACTTCTATCCTTACTGACGTTCAGCACTAGTTTCACATTACATTCTGTGCAAGCAGCATTAATGGCTGAAGCCAGTCCCAGCATAAGGAACCTTACTTCTTCAATGACCCCACGAAGGCCAGTAATTCCCTTATTCCACTATAGCCTTGAAATCAAATCATTCTCTTCATCTGCCTGAAGACCTATGTGGAGCCTGGGAATTAATTACCTATCATGGCACTACAATAACAAAACCCCCAAAAAGGATAGAACATCTGTTTTATATCAAAAAATTCTTTTTTAAGGGCATTCCATGGTTTTCTTGTTGCAAAAGGACATTCATAAAACAAGATCTAGTGTGATTTAGATCTTTACAGCTGGCTCAAATATCAATGTGAACAAAAATCTTTGTAGCTCCAATTTCTGTTTTTTGTCATATTTTGAACAATGCCTTTAATAAAAAACAAACATAGAAGGTATAAGAGAGTCGTTGATAGGCTGTTTAAACCCAAAATATTTCTGACTTTGTACTAGTCCCTCATCTAAGACATGTGTGGCAACTACTGCAAAATGGCCTTCAGAAAGGTCAGTTTCCTCTTAGGATGGAAAAAAAAAAAGCTCTCTCAGACATAGCTATACATATAAATAAAATATGGTGCATAAATATTTAAATGTTTTAAACCACATCACAGTGTGAATGACTGACTGACTACTCTGTGCCTTGAAGGAATATTCTGAATTGAAAAAATGGAATTGTATATTTGATTAAGTAGAGCCATATGTCGCATAGTATACTGCTGATAGGTACATTCTATGAATAGTTGGTACTGATTTATACATGGATTTGGCAATGTTAACATGGGCCACAGGAGGATATACTTCTGTAATTGTTGCTGTAATTTTCTCGTTTCCTCTCATGTCAAGGGTACTTGCCACCATGTTCTGATGTGGTGGGTATCTAGCCCTGAGTATCTGAGATTAAAAACTAGCATCACTTTGAAATTAGGGAACAGTTAACACACAAGTGAGTTTAAAATGGCTTATTAAATTAATTGTTACCAAGATGTTTTGTATGCGGCTTTACCTCCAGATCCAGGGGGTGGCATGCACTGTACCAGGAGAGAAAGAATTTCCCAATGATAAGCATTATTTGATGTTTGCTGTTCACACAAAGTACGATATAAATGCTGCCAACTAGAAGCATGAATTTAATAAGCAGGAAAGGTTATTTGAATTCTCCAGGTATTTTTTGCTGGATTAATATCTGAAATAAGTGATGTTGTATTCAGTGGACAGACAGATGAAGCATGAAACAATTCGACCCTGCACCTTTAGGTCAAAAGTTCAGGATTACCAGAAGCCTCTGTCAGTGTCTTTGTTTCTTAGAAATGGACTGATTTTTTTGTTGTTGTGGTTTAAGTAATGATGAACACTTTGAAAGTAGATTAAGCCTGAAATACACAAGGCATATAATTTGCTTTATACTTCTAAGTCACACACTGAAAATCTGAGAGGATTAGCACTTTTTAAAGGCAGTTTCCCCTTTTCACATATTTCAATGTCTAATCTGAAATCCTTGTTTAAATACGAACAGAAACAGGCTAATATACATCTAAATGCAAAGCTAATGGTTTTAATAAATAAATAAATAAATAAAAGTAATGGTTTTAATAATCAAATAACTGGGCAGGGAACTTCAGGATTGTTTTTAATTTAGTTTTATTATTTAATAACAACATGCAGAGTATCAAGTGAGATAGAAAATGCATGTCTCCTGTGAATATACATGGGAGTGTGTTGTTTTTTCTCTTTTATTTGGAAAGCCTTCACTAATTATTTTATAGCATTAGTGCTCTGTGATATCTAGATACAAAGAGTCAGGTGAGAGAACAGCTCCCCAGGTTCAGTTCTAAGTGAGTATTCCTGGGGTAAAAAAGGTATTCCTTTGTGGCCTCGCACGGCAAATGTTTTCCTAAGCCTCTCAGAAGTTATAAAAGCTCCTGGTTTAAACCTATTTTAAAACATTAGAACTTCTTTTCCTTGAGGTCTGTGTGGTGCTTAACCTTTCTGTTGACAGTTGCATAAGTTTCCTTAATGAGCTGGGATCAGTCAAAATGACATCTGTGATCACAGTAGTTTCCCCATCTTTTTACCATAAGCACAGGGAACAAAGGAAAAAGGTACAGGAAATTTGCATGTAGCTTCAGTTTGACTTTCTAGCAGAGACTGTCAGGATACTGCCATAAGAATGAAGTTTAAACAATCAGAAGGAAAATACTCTTTTCTCTCAGAGGAGCTTTGAGAGAGATGAGAAATTGCTAAAAACTTTCGCTTCAAAAAACATTACTAGGTGCTATAGAGAGGGTGTGTATGTGTTTGAAAGAGAGAAAAGGCTTGCACAGGTCTTCGGTAGCTTGTGAAGCACACAGAAAATAACTTTGTGCATATAAAGGGGCCTAGGCTTTATGGTGGTGAGTTTTCTCCAGACCCAGAAAAGCTTTGAAATAGCTGTGATTTGAGATGTGAGCAGAAAGTCCTGAGACAGGGAAAGCCTGGTGACTAGTATCATGTGGGATGCTTTTCCCCCTCTCAGAATGGAATTCACAAAATATTTGAAAGCCCAATAGAGGAGAGATGCTTTCCAGGCCTCTCTGAGAGAAAAGAACAGATGAAAAATTATCTAAAGAGGGGCAGGAAATTGTCCCCCAGGAACTGACCCTAATCTGTATCTGATTCAGGCTGTTGATCTATTGCTGATTCTTTGGATTTGCTGTTTTAATTCAGAGAGATAATTTTTTTTCCTAATCCACACTCAGGTATTTTCAGCTCCTGGAGTCATCATTGAGCCCTTCAGGATCTTTGCCACACAAATGGCCCAGTTCTATTTGTTTTTATTATGTCTGATTTCTCTGCGCTCTTTTTTATCAATCAAAATTTCCTCACTCCATCCTTTGCAGGTTTGGTTTTGGTTTTGGTTTTTTTTAATTTATTTTTCTTTTTGATGCCTTTCTACTTACCCTAGAAGCTTCTACTGTTAGACTTTAGCAGCAAATTTGAGATCCGATTACCTGTGATGGGTGCAGGGAGCTACTGCAGCTTCTCGGGCACCAAGAAGCATGGGAGGTACTCTATCTGGCAAAAATCCCCTGCATTTACTGCAAGAAGAAGAAAAGCTGCATAGAACCCTGCCTGTACAGTGTGTAGTTGCCATACTGAGCTAAAGTATCCCCAGGCTTTCTTGACGATCCTTTAATCAGCTGTTACTATGAAGACTTGCGGCATCAGTAGCAATCTCTTAAGCCTAGCAGCATGGAGCAACGCCTTATTCATAGAATCATATCACAGAATGGTCTGAGTTGGAAGGGACCTTAAAGATCATCTTCTTCCAACACCTCCTGCCATGGACAGGGACACCTTTCACTAGACCAGGTTGCTCCAAGCCCCATCCAACCTGGCCTTGAACAGGGATGGGGCATCCACAGCTTCTTTGGGCAGCCTGTTCCAGTGTCTCACCATCCTCATAGTAAAGAATTTCTTCTAATGTCTAATCTAAATCTATGCTCTGTCAGTTTAAAGCCATTCCCCCTTGTCCTGACACTACATGCCATCGTAAAAAGTCCCTCTCCAGATATCTTGTAGGTCTCCTTTAAGTATTAGTAGATTGCTGTAAGGTCTCCCCTGAGCCTTTTCTTCAGGCTGAACAAGCCCAAGCTCCCTCAACCTGTCTTCATAGGAGAGGTGCTTCAGCCCTCTGATGATCTTCCTCTTATGATGGCCTCCTCTGGACAAACTTGAAGCAGGTCCATGTCCTTCTTGTGTTGGTGTTTCTTTGAATAAAACATCAGAACTGTTATAATATGAGCTTAAAATACTTCTTTTGCTTTACTTCGAGAAGTGTTGCTGTTAAAAGCAGTAGCTTCTAGTAGCACATCTAGCATTTAAGACTAATGATTAATGGCAGTCATTTATAAGCACCAAAATGTGTGCAAGTCTATTTATAATTCCTGATGGAATAACATTCCCCTGGTACAATTTAGGAGTTCTATACATGCCAAAAACTTGCTAGATTCTCTTCTCCCACTGGAAAATGCACAAACCTACAGTTTGTGTTAACTTACTTGAAACTAGGTTAGTTAGGTAAAAAGAAGGAAGTTGATAATCTTCTGATATTGTTCTTCCAGTCTCTGTGTAATCAGCAAGAAAATGTATTGGAGTAAAAACAAAACAAAAACTAAAACCAAAACAAACAAACAAACAAAAAAACCCACAACAAAAAACAAACCCAACCAAAAGCCCACAAAAGAACAAAAAAATAAAAAAAACCACGCAAAACAAAAAAATATGGAAAACCCAACAATTTCTTCAGTTCCCCTGGGGTTATAAATAGCTTTGACTATAACAACATTCTGACCTCTATGGATACTAAATCCTTCCTTTTAAAAAGAACATTTTGCAAAGCTGTAACAGGAAAATACATGTGGTAGCCCTATGGATATGTGGGTATGGCAGCTTGACAGTAGGAAGTCATAGATATGCCACTAGAAAATGCCAAAATAAATTCTGCACTCTGAAGCAGCACTGTAAATGTCAGCCTTTAGCATACCCAGATCTGCTACTGAATGTGATACAGACATATTGACCTGTAATGAGTTTTATTGCTTTGAAAAAGTGAGATTTTGGTTATGCTCACCTGAGGCTTGTTTCACAGAAGATACCTGATCTTTTGCAGAAAAATACATGAGATTTGAAGAGAAGCTTTAATTTAAATACTCTTCTGCTTAAATACTGCTAGGGTGAATAATGTTTTGCACAAATGCTCCCAGCCAACCATTCTGACATTCAGTCACAAAAGGAATTGCAACCTGCCTGTAGATGTGCACCTTAGGTTCTTCTGAGGTTAATTACAGTTGTGAATGTGCATTGAAGCTAAATTGGACATACCTTGAACACTTCACTTTTCAGAAAATCTGTTCCACGTGTATCACGCAGCAGTGTGCTACAAGCAATGTACCAAACTGTTTTTCATGGAGAGCTGACGATCCATAGGGATCTATGAGGAAATATTTTTCTCTCTCTCTTCTTTGATCTCTGAATTTCTGCAGGCTTCCAGGCACATTGGTATCAAAGAACTAGAGACCCATATGATCATAGACAGAGGAGGTGCTAGCTTCATTATGTCTGTTTAAAATGTCCACTGAGAGAGCAAGGAGGGAAACAGAATCAGCTCTCAAAGACCATGGAGGGCCCATAAGTTGGAGAAAACGTCATGGGAAGAAAGGATAAGAAAAGAGCAGCTGGGCTGTATTGTGGAGAGAAGGGAACCAACCAACAATAAAGCATTGTCAAAAGTGTGTGCTAGGAAAGATGGGTCAAAAAGAGGTAACACAAAGCACAAGATTATGAATTCTTTGTGTTATACCCGTTAAATTGCATGAAGACTATCCAAATGTTGCTTTCTTGGAATAATTTGTATGGTTGCTAGATAGTTGCTTGTAAGTGGAAGGTGCCAGCCCAGAAACAACTAGGACAGAAATATATGAGAGGTGATCTCCAAATCAAATTGTCAGTCACACTTTGACCTCTCCTGTATAGGGGATTATTGTTCATGCCTTCAGGGGCGGAAGACCTGTAGCTCTGGTAATTTTTATGACTATCATACAGTCTCATTGTGTCAACAGAGTGACAAGCAGCCAGATGAGAAACAGAAAGAGAGGGATGGAAGGAGGTTGCAAGCAGGAGAAAAAGTATTGTGAAATCTAAAATACTTTAAAACCTGTGACAGTTTTTGGGTTTTCCTATTAGACTGTCAAATTGTATGGTGCATTTTCAGACTAGCCTCATGGAGCTGTGAAAAATACTCTCCCCGTGTGTCCTGCATTTTCTTTTTCCTTTTTTGAAAGTGTTGTGCTATCAGGAGAGAGAGTGTCTTCTGCTGCTGACCCACCCCAACATCTCAAAGTAGAAGCAGCAGCTGGGGAAGAGGAAGTGCAGCCTGTTGGCCTGAGAGATCAGTTGTCAGCATGGAGAAACGCCTTCATGCTGTTCAGCTAGCAGTGCCCCATCTGCCCTGTGTGATCTGTCATTTCCCACTGACTTTAATTTTGTTGAAGTCTTTTACGTAAGTTGGGAAATGAAGTTTTTATCATAGTTTTAAATCTTTAAGCATTACAGAAACATAAAGTAAAATATGTTAAGTCTTAGCATATATTTTGTCAACCCAAACACCTTTTTTCTTTTTTTTTTTTCTCTTTTTTTTTTTTTCCCCAGAGTACAGGACTAGGAGACCAAAGCTAATGTCAAGAGATCTTGAAGCATTTCTGCGTTGTAACAGTCGCCACTGGGCAGACAGCTGCCAAATGTCTTGCAATTAATCTGATACTTACTGGCTTTCATATCCCTTTCCTTTCAGAACCAATGCCCTGAGGCAGAGGAGTTGGTCTTCAGCCATTTTGTGATCTGTAATGACACACAAGAGACACTGCGGTTTGGCCAGGTGGATACTGATGAAAATATTTTGCTGGCTAGTCTCCACAGTCACCAGTACAGCTGGCGCTCTCACAAGTCCCCACAGGTATGTCAAAAACAGCCCTCTGAATTCAGCAATTGCTAAAGCTGGCTGGTGGCTTTATGGCTTTCTCTATGGTCTCGACTATCTCTAAAGCTCCAGTTCCTTCAGGAGTCAAATGCTGGGGCTGCATCAGAGAGAAAAGGTAAACAAAGAGTGAGGAAAGCCAGAAGTGTTTAGAAGTTACTTGAGGGTAGAACTGGATGTGCACGACTGCTTTTTGTAAAATTGAGCAGTTGTGGAAACTGAAGCTTCTGAAAAAAAGCAAAGGAAGATCACTTGCCAGGTTTTTATAACTAAGTGATCAGTGTCTGTTTTCTGTGATGTACATTAGAGGTTTGGGGAATTTTCTTAATGAATTGTTTTTACCAGAAGCATCTGTTCACTGAAATTGTTTGCAGAACAGGGTCAAACTGGACAAATCTCTCAACTCAGCATGTGCTTGCATTAGAAGAGATTTTAAATTGTCAGAAACACCCCACTTGCAAAGTTTAAATAATGCCATTTCTGTTTCTTGGGATTTTTTTTTTTTTGAGGATAAACACTGAAACAGAAATAAAATATTTTAAAATTATCATCAGGAAGTATTTCAATGAAACCATGTTGTTGGTTTTCTTGAATGGTGGTGGAAAATGGACTTTTCATCTTGATTCAAGACAGGGCAAGAATTTAAATCTAAAAATAAGCATTTATGAGACAGCAAAGCCGTTTCTTCTCTCTTTCTAATATATGCCCATCTCCTGCTGAGAGAGACTAGAGACCTGTGCTGCCCTACTTGATGAGCAGTAATCTTGCACTGCAGAGTTACTAAAACTTCTACACGTCATGGGAGAAGTGTAGTGGATGGGGGTTCCTAACTCCTCCAGGGCCCTGGAAAATACCAGTCTCAGAATGTGAGAAAGAAGGTGAAATTTGGCTGGTAATTCTAAACAGGAGCTGTGCCCACTTTCACTGCTGACAAGTTTCAAGTTTCATTGGGAAGCAGAGATGGCAAATTTACTGTGTTTTTCATTCATATGTCAGTTGGTGATATGCAAAACTACTGAATTTTATGTAAGTGCAGTAATCTGTACAAAGCAAACTCAGCCAGACTAAACAGTTGCAGTTGACACTGAAGTCAAGGCCTAAGTTAAGAGGAAACAGCCTAATAAAGGACCATCTCACCCCAGGGATAGAGTTGTTATAAATGGTGTGCGCTGGTGTCATAGTGCACAGAGGCGGGACCTTTGGAGTCTCAGAGCCACTGGAGTGCTGCATGTCCCTTGTCACATTTTCAAAAAGGACATGTTTTCTTATACAAACAAAATGCCTGTGATGTCTCAGCCCATGGGCAAGCATGCTAAATGGGTGATTGTGCTTTCTACAACAGGCCAAGTGTCAGAGTGTGACACAGGATCCCCACTTGTCAGGTGACAGTACTCTCACTTGGGTTATGAGGTAGCTCACTCTGGTTGTGTGAGGGAGAAATAACCAGCACACTTACGGAAAGCTAGCTAAATGTGACCTGTATTTCATAACCAATTACCACCCAAAAAAATTATTTAAACCTTTTTATAAACACATGGAAAAATGAAGGAAATCTTTAAAGCAATTATAGATAAAACCAGAACCAAGTAAGGCTTTCTTCGTAACAATTTTTCGTATCCATTTTCTGGTTACTTATATAAAATTATTCAGTTGGGAGAATCCTATTTTCATTCTATATAGTTCTACTAATGGTACAGTTCTGATGATCGTGTATTTCTAATAATGGTGTATTTCCAATAATGGTGCAAACTCTTAAGAGTTTTGAAAATGAAGGTTATCTCAAGCAGAGTAAAAAGTAGAAGAGTTAAAATTGCAGCTTGTTATTGATACTTCCTTTCAGTTCCAGCTGAGCTGCCAAAGACCACCAGTACAACGTATGACAATAGCCATCAAACACCTGCAGAACTTTAATATTTAAACATTGATCTTTAGCTTGTCCTTTCAGTCACAGACTTGAGCAATGCAAAATATTCTGTTTCCATGGCCGCTATGTAAGTCTCTTATTAAATGAAAAATGAAAGTGCAGGATGAAAGGTGGAGAAGTCCAGCATTAAACCAAATCTCACATTAGGGAATGGGTGAGGTGACACTAGGAACCTAAGATTCGTTTTTCAGATACTCATTCTTCAGCTAAAAGTTGATGATGTCAAAGGGTTTCCCCGTTCTGTTTTGCTCTCATCAGTTTCAGATTCAGGGAACAACTGGGCTTATAAACAGTCAGGAGTGTCATGTTGGATTCCCATGTCCCAGGAGATGACATATCTAACAGCTCACTTCTCCTGACTCAGCCACATTGTTGGCCAGCAGGCTCTTCTAGTAGAGGGGCTATATCTCCCCTGTCCCAGGCTTTGAAATAATTTCAAGAATATTTCTGCTCTTTAAATGTTTTTCAACAGCCATCTCTTGATGGGAAATACAGAGACTGAAAAATAGCACTGAGCTAATTTCACTGAAAAATATAAGGCTTTCCACACACAGTTGAGATAGAAGCAAATTTTCTTTACAAAGATCAGGGAATCTTGGCATCCGTCTGCAAGCTTTGTTCATTTGGTTAATGCCAAATATGAATTTAGCATGCTTCTGAATGGCAGTTCATCTAAACAGTCTGAACAGCACAATCCTTTGTCATTTTAGATCATACAAAATAAATTTGTTTAAATATTATTGTCATGTAATTTTTTTTCAGTGATTAATACAAATCCTTGAAATGAAAACAAAGACTCAATTAAGACATCAGGTTGTCCCTATTATGCTATGGCACTTTTCTAATTGCTTCCATGCAAAACTATCTAACAGTTTGTTATCCAAAGGTCAGAATAATGCCCAAGCATGGACAAACCCTCTGAGTGTCATATTCATGGAATGCTAGATGACTTCATAGTTATGAAATTATTTCATTTCTCATGATAATTCCTGACTTGCCAAGTTAGTGAATTTTAGAACTCTGAGAGCAGATTGTAAGATAAATGTGAAATAATCCATACTTCTGGAGTCAGGGACTTCCCTCCAGGCATTAGTTCATACTTGACTTACTTGACTTACTCTTGGGGATAAAATGAGTTAGGACAAGGTCTTAGATACCACATTCTCTTACTGGGAAAGAAAACCAACTTGCACAACTTCAGCTGGCTCATGTTTCTTGTTACACAGGCACTAAGAAGCAGCGGTTGCCATGAAATACTTTATTTAACCTCTGCAAAATGTTTTTTTAGTATGGCAAGGCAGTTCAGTTAAATGAAAATAAATAGTTTTAAAAGGATTGTATTTCTTTTACATTCACATCAAGAAAATTCTCCATTTTTCTTTTGCTAATTAAGCATAGTGAGAGATGCAGTAATTGCCCATTTGAATTATTTAACATAAATATATATACCTAAAATAAGTCATTTTTGTAGTAGCACATAGTTATATAATGCTTTATTTACATTTAGAATTAATTTTAATATTAGTGAAGCTACAATAGGCTTTATTAAAAATTGTTTAACTTTTTCATGTTACTGTGTCAGCTATAGCACGCCAAGGATTTGGATTTATCAGCTATTGATGGTGTCCCTCCAACTGGCTTAACTTAAAGCTCCTTCCTTCCTACATTTTTTCACAGCCCGGATATTCTGCATTTCAGGGAACCTAACCTTTCCCTTTTAACTTTCACTCTGATTCCTGCAGGTCTCGCTAGTTTGGCTAATATTTCAGTAATAAGTCTGAGGTCCAGTGCTCGCTCTTCTACTCTGCTCCATCCCCCACGTTTTCCTCAGATTTCATGAGGTTTTGTCCTTCCTTAGGGATAAGACACCCCCAACTATATAGTCCCTTTCAGAGTTGGGGTAAGTCCAAAACTGATGATATTTAAGGCTTTAAGCAATTCTAGCAAAAGTTGCCAGACCTTGTGAGTTCCTTTTGCAGATTTTAATGAAAGTTAGAGGTCTGTTAGATATCATTAAAAGGGAAGAGAAGCTACATCACTCCTGTGCCTTACAGACAACACTGGCTCCTACGTTATTATTGGATCCAGTCTACACTCCTTATCTTGATCTTCAAGTTGCTTTGTGGGATGGGCCCCAGTTATGTCAAAAGTCGTGTTTGTCTCCAAGACAGCTGTGCTTTTTAGGAGAACTGGAGCATGTGATACATAGGCTGATAGTCTGAAGTTAGAAGAGATCAGACCTTCCTAGCAATTTACTCAGAGTTAAGGAATTCTGTCTTGCAAGACAGTAGGCAGTCAGAGGGTCCTACTGAGGATCACACAAATGTAAAAACCAGCTATTCACATGGGTGTCCCTTGAACATATCTGCAGAGATCGTTTGCTTGTGAATAAAGAGCAAAAATCTTCTATAACATGCTAGTTATTGCTAGTTATTTTCCCCACGTTCAGCAGTCCTCTGAAAAAGCAAAGAATAATGGATCTAAATTCATTATTTTACTTCCTATGCAAAACATAATGTTGCATAGGAAAAGTCTGCATTTAAAGTAGCAGCTCCCAAACCTTTCTCCAATGCCTTCCTCCAGGTTTATGATAACAGCCCATTTTCACTTTTCACCATTCCTGACTTGAAGCAGCAAGTGTAGTGGGTAAAAATCAGTTCCTGTGTTGATTTGGGCAATGACTTCAGTGAGAATGTGGCCAAATTACTGGTTATAAACAATATAGTTTTATTTCTTATCAAAGTAGGTAAATATGCCTGAACAGCTCTGTGCTACTTTGTTGCTGCTTACATAGAATTTGGGGGAGAATCTCTCTTTTCATTTGCTTTTCTGTTCTTCTGAATGTACACTTATAAATTCTTGAGTAGATATTAGTAGTGGTCAGTATGTTAGTAATACCTTCACTGGAACCCACTTAAAGTTGTTTTTCTCTTATTTTAGATAGTGTGCCTCCATAGCACAACTTCTAGAATTTTATAAACATAATTTTTAAAGGCAGATGTAGATTTGGAAATAGCTTTAGGAATCTCCTCCTACAAAAAAAAAGACTGAAGCCAAATTTTCATTTATGTTGCATGTCCAGCAGGATCATAATTCAATGTTATTTATTTCAAAGTTGCCATTCTTTCAGGTATTGGGTTCTATAAAGTATAAGATGATATACAGTACTCTGTGGGTTCAAACTTAGAAACTGGGACTTTTATATTGGGACATTTTCCTGTCTTATTGTTTAGGGATCTTACAAATTCTCTGCACAACTTTATGTACTTTATATAATCCTCCACGGGTCATTTACAGAACATCATCGGGGAAAAAATGAAACAAAAACAAAACCAAAAAAAGTTGGTTTAGGCTGTTTTACACTTTTCAAGTAGTGAGAAATGTATTGTTGCTTTCCTTTGCATCCAAAATCAATGGTTATACTATGTTATATGTAATTGACTTTCTAGATAATATCTGGGGCAGATAAGGATTGCTGTTATCCTTGAATCAGATGAAGCCTTATAATTTGGTTACTGTTCCTTAATCAAAAAACTCTTTTCCACAATGTGTAGAGCTGGGTCATACCCGCGAAGTTCAGGCCTGCTTTGCAGGTTGTGTTGAGGCTTACGCCTCCAGGACCCCCCAAGGCTCAGTTTATCTGCCAAGTGTGACCTTTTTTGTTGCTAGCCAGCAGAGGGTGATGGAAATTGCTTTCTCCCATGGTCTGTACTGGCCTTCCATCTTACAAGGGCCAGTGATGTAGAGAACTGATCAGATCTCCCAGGTCCCGTGAGAAAATTAAGCCAAACTGAAATTCAAGCTGAGCTGGTGGCCATTGTGGCTGACAATGTGCAGAATCAACATTTCAATCACTGTTTTCCCAAATATTAATTGGTTTTATTATTGCATATCATAATCCTGGTCAAGAGCCTCCTGCGAACACAACCAGAAAATACTGATCATCCTTCTCCTTTAATTTTTCAATTACAACTTGCTTTAGCTTCAAGTCTTAGAGTTCAGCTCCCATCTCCAGGTCTCCATGTTTCTGCATCATCACAGCTTTTATTTTACTGTCTTGTATCTTTTAGAAAAAACAACTGTTTCCACACCATTAGTCATGTCCTCACTTGATTCCTCACAGTCTCTCAGAGTTGAGAGCAATAACCCTTATACTTCCCCAAAAGCATTTTCTAGTTTCACTTAGAAGACAGATGTAATCTAACTATAGTGAAACCAAGTTAACTTTGGTGGATCTACAAGCAAAGTAGAAATCAAATTTGTATCACTAAGCATTTTGAGGCCACAAGCTTTAAATTACTTACACAGCTGGAAAATGCTGCTTTTTCTGGACAGACTCCCTTCTTAGTCTCATTTTTAATCCCCCATTTTAGTCTTCATGCCTCGTCATATGACACTTAGCTTTATTTACTCAGATTGTATCCTTCACTCACACATCTAGCTGAAAACCTAAGTAAATTTTCAGGAGTGCAGAGAAACATTCTGTGAAGAGACATGATAAAGAATACACCTTTTCTGGACATTTGCTCCAATAGGAGCAGCTTTATCTTAGTCTGCCTCCCCAAAGGTGGTTTCTTTCCTTCTTGAAACAGATATCTATAATGGCTCAGATTTACAAATCCAAACCCCTTAAAATCTAGTCAAACCAAAAAACTCTGTTATCTGTTAATCCATTTTCCTATCAGACAATGCAAAAATCAAATGGTTACATAAATGAGTGCCTATTTTCACATATACAATTAATAGTCTGTTTTGAGTTCTAAGCTATAAATTGCCACTAATCACTGGATTATATTTGTTAAAATGCTTTTGAAGTCCATTGAATATTTTTTGTAACTTTATGCAATGACTTCTCTTTTATCCTAATATATGTACCATACTTAGCTATACTTGTTGAACTTTCTTTGCTTAAAGTGTCTAATAAGTACTTAGAATTTACTTAAAGTGTGATAAATGAAAGGGAGTTACATGGCAATTACTGTGAATCTATAGTATTTGGTCAGTTTTAGAGCTCTGCCTTTTTGAATATCTAACACCATCTATTACGACGTCTTCTGCTAAAATAATGTTAAAGCCTGATTACTTAATTTTCTAAAATTGCTTCAATTTTTATTTCCTGCCATATATCTCTGTATCGCTTAGTGTCATTTGCTAATTACTTCTAGGCATGTTTTCCAGAAATTTCACATTTAAATGACTGATTTGCCCAGAGATCCCTTTGCATTTTCATGGAATGCAGTTTCTTGGCTCAGAAGTAAACTTACGCAGTCCCAGTTCTTACACTGTTATGTCATTAATGCAAATATATTGGATATCTTTAATTTACAAAGGCTGTTCCCTTTGTATGTAGCATTTACCAATGTGTGTATGGGTATATCTTTTTTGTTTCACTTTCTGAACCATGAAGTTAAATGCAGACTAATCATTATGTTACAAAGAAAATTAGTAAGGCAACATTTGTGTTCTAATGACTGCTCAGGGAAAGCTGACAGCATGTTCCTTGGGAACATTCGGCCCGTGAGCAAGGCTGTTTATACAGGGTGGGAGACATCCTAATGTTGGAGCTACATAAAATTACTAATCATCAATTATGGCATTTATATGACATCTGTCTTTGGAGCACACCATATTTTGTGTGCCTTCTAGCTTTAGTACCTTTTCTCATTATTTGGCTGTCATTTCCAGCTACCAGTCTCTCCAAAGTAAACAGTTTTCTTGTTTCTCTTAGTTTTCATATGTGATGAGATTTATTCCCAGCTGCCTCTGTAAGAAACTGAACTGATTCCAGCCACTGCAGTTGGACTTTTTCGTTTTGTTTTGTTTTTCCTTTTCTGTAACTAATACTTAAGAATCAAAGCAACGTGTTTATGACTTTGAGAGTCCTAGTGCACAGCTTCCCTCAATGTATTCTTGAATATAAAGCTCTGCCCAGTCATGTGCACATCCAGATGCATGCCCATGTTCACACTGGCACATATTAGCCTTTGTGCTTCCAGCATAAAACTAATTTGAATCTGAATGCAACAGTCATCACTCTTGCAAATTCAAAAGCCACCCACTGAATGAATGTTATTGTTCTGTGTGTAACTTGTGCTGAGGATACCACAAATTGCAAACAGGCTACTGAGTTGTAATGTCTTTGAAAGTTGTTGCTGCGGTTGTTTCTTAAAACAATGAAAAAACCCAACATCCAGCCCTTCACTAAGTCCGTCTGGCCAGACCCATGGCCAGTGCTCTCTCTTTCTAGAAACAAATCATGGGAGAACATAATATTTACAAGTTTCAATTTTTGCTAGTGTAAATAATCAAACTTTGGGCCTGATCCTGTTCTCAATTACTTAAATTAATTAATGACAGATGTCCAAAATCAGACTGAAATTCAACCCTCAAGAGAGAATTCCCACAAGGCCTTTATATAACTGTTTTAAAGGACTTAAGTGATGCTTAGGCTCTCTGCTGGCCCTCTGCAAAGAATAAATTTTACCCAGAATGCTTATTGCTTTGATCCCTTATATATAACTCACATCCTTAAGTTTGCACAGCCACAAAAGATCTATACAGAGATAAATAGCCAGATCTTCAGCTGGTGTAAATTTATGTAACTTCATTGACCTACATGGAACAGTACCAATTTTCACTACTCTGGCTTAAAGAATCTCCATGGGATAGAGGTAAGTGCGTATGGTGGGTAAATGGATGAAAGGCTCTTCAAATGATGAAAGACTGTATTGCTCTGGAAGTGATTTAAGTTAAACTGGAAAAAAGCCACTCCTTTTCCGGAATAAATCACACAGGGAGTATAATTATGCAGTTAAATTTCTTCTCATGCAGTCAAGCTTGAACTTGCCACCACATTTGTGTAAGAAATGAAATATTTCCCATCTCTCAGCAATATGCTAAATTCTACATTTAACACACATATAAGTGAGCTATACAAGTATACATAGAGATTTGCATCCTTCTTTATTTTGAAGGGAAGAGTATTGGTAATTTTCTGTCTTATTCTGAAGGCCAAAAATTCAGCCTGGACCTGCATTCCCTATCACCTTGCTGGTAAAAAAGAGGGTGGATTTTTAGAACAATTCAGGGGCAGTAAGGAAAACCTCTCATTTCCAGTTTTATGCTTTCTAATCTACATACTGTTTTTTTCCTAAGCAGTCACATGCTGGATTTTTACCATCCTAAATACACTGTTAAAGCAGGTAATTTCTAGAAGTACATGATGCAGAGCTGTCTTACGGTATTTTTGATTCTTCTGCTTGTATGTGAAATCACAGAATCACAGAATGAGTGGATCATTCAGTGAACTGGTGTGCTTAGCATTGCTGAGTTTTAAAACCAATAATATTTTTCTGTCATTCGAATTCCTATCCTACTGCAAGGCTTCTCCCTCCCCCCCCCAGTTATGTATTGAAGTAGAAATTGCTTTCTTTCCAGCTGTTACACATCTGTATTGAAGGCTGGGGAAACTGGCGGTGGTCTGAACCATTCAGTGTGGACAATACAGGGACCTTTATTCGTACCATTCAGTACAAGGGCCGGACAGCATCACTTATTATCAAAGTTCAGCAGCTCAGTGGAGTACAAAAGCAAGTAAGTGTTTGATCCAGTTTGGAAATAATAACATGGGTAATTCACGAATTAGTCACCTTGTTATTTATTCTCTCCTACTGGGATCTGAAAAAAACCCCACACCAAGTATAACAGTTTTCTGGGGGCATTTGGGGAGTTTTTACAAGTTTTTCTTTACTTTGGTATGTATTTAAAAGTTCAATAACCACCATGTATTTTACATGTTCTAGTAAACATGTCTTTGCATGGTTTGTAAGTTTTGACAGTTTTGTTAAAGGAGAAAGAAGTAATGACCAAATTAACATTTGAAAATAGGCTTCTGTGCAGTAACTTTTCACATACTGTCTTTGTAAAGAGATCTGTAATAACACTGCAGTCCAGAAGCCTGCATTGGCAGAAGCAAGAGCATGTGGTGGACATAACATGTTCAGCTCATGGATGTGGCAGAGCACCTATGTTGTGCAACAGAAATACAGCTGATCAGATGAGAACAGTGCCTGGTGTCACTGAAAGCCCTGCTGAGACTTTGCTTGGTAGGTTGTAGCTGGAGTGTGTGCCCTTATTAATGAAAAGCAAATGAAGATGGCTACACAGGGATACACATGGAATGCTCTTCCTTCATAGAGTGTAGAAGAAGTCAGCTATATGTTCTATGATAAACAATTCATGTATGATGGACAGCAACAAGTCTGAGTCTAATTTAGTAGTTTTCTAGGTGGGTGCACTTAAATACAGAAATAGAGTACAGCAATTTAATGGAATTATAAGCATTAAAACAGGAAACATACTGAAAGGTCGGGAACGCTGGATTGTGCTGGGAATGTGAAGTGTCAGTAGCAACCATTCACTGTGTCTGCTCAAAAAGGGCTCAGCATTCAGAGACCGTCACTCTTAAAATCCAGTCCAGAGCTATGTCAGCCTTGGGCAGTACTGCTGAGTTCAGTGGGAATGAAAGTGGATACGTTACATGTTTCTCTCAAGCCCGGATACTGCCTGAGCAATATTTCAGGCATTTTAATGCCTAGGTTTCTATGAAATTGCACATACATTTGGCCAACAAAAATAATGTTTTACCATTCATTGCCTTCAGCAGTGCTTGGGAAAACCTAAAATAGGGAGATTATTCTCGTACAGGTTTTCACTCTATAATTCCATTTTGACCTTTCTTTTTCACAGTTATTTATATATGAGCTGCATATTTTTGTGTGTTTTAGATCCTAATCTGTGGAAGGCAGACCGTCTGTAGTTACCTTTCTGAAAGTATTGAACTGAAAGTGGTTCAGCATTACATTAGCCAGGATGGACAGACCGTAGTAAAAGAACACATCAACTGCCTCGCAGCCAAGCAGAAGTTGCCTTCATATGTCCTAGAAAATAATGAGCTCACTGAGCTGAGTGTGAAAGCTACAGGAGATGAAGACTGGTCCCGAGATGTATGTCTAAGTTCTAAACATACAGAACACAGCGCTGTCATTCAGGTATGACTAGAAATAGATGTATAGAATATAGCATTAAAAATGCTTTGCGAAAGCCAGGGGCTTAGCATTTAGACTTCTGTTTGATATGATGAAATGTTGAACATTATCATCCTGAAATAATTTTAGTGTAATGCTGCTGATCTCTCTGTGTACAGGTACCATCTTCAAAGAATTCAATTACACATGTGTGGTGCACAATTTTGACTTTAGAGCCCAACTCTAATGTCCAACAACGATTAGTAAGTACACTTAATGTTTCTGAATGTTTATGCCTTACATGTCATATGGCAGAATCAAGGGCAGAATGACCTACTTGAAAGATTTATTAATAGCTTGTTTCAACAGCTGTAATACTGGAATAAAATTAGCCTTGAACTGGTATATTATTTTCTTTTTGTAGATTGTTTTCAGCCCTCTTTTTATTGTAAGGAGCCATCTTCCAGACCCAATTATCATACATTTAGAGAAAAGAAGTCTGGGACTGACTGAAACACAAGTGGTTCCAGGGAAAGGACAGGAGAAAGCATTGCAAAATATAGAACCTGATCTTACACACCACCTGACATTTCAAGCCAGGTAAAATACTCGCTTTCCTTGAAAATGGTTCATATGTACGGAAAAGAAGGAATAATTTACACTATAACTTCTGGTGCATTTTTTCAGAGAGCATGGCAACTGCAGAGGAGATAGAACAGAGCAAGCATATGTGGCCTGAAATGATATGACAGAACATATTAAATTTGGTATAACTATCCTAAGCACATTATCATTTGTTTGCTTAAGCAGTCCATGGTTTTGTGTCCTGAAAAATTAATTCCTAAATGATCTTGAAATATTTTTTTGGGAATACTGAATAGTTTCAGGGTCTCAGACACAAAGGTCATTACAGTGTCATAACAAATCCATGCATATCAGTTAATGCTCAGGAAGTTGTTAGACCTTGTAGTTCAATTCATCCGTGATTACCTTGAGAGTGCTCCTACTGCAGAGTAAGCTTGGAAAGCTTCACTGAAGAAAATGTTCATGCTACTAATCCTTAATCTTGTTGTGTAAGTGACTGAATCTCTTTTCAATGACAGGGAGGAAGATGATCCATCAGAGTGCGCAGTCCCTATCTCAACCATGCTAATTAAGCAGATAGCAACTAAATCCCATCAGGGTGGCAATGTCAGCCAAATACTGTCCGAGTTCTATGGCACCACTAATCCTCCCCAGCCTACATGGCCGTATAATAGGAAGGATTCAGACAGGTAATTCTTCTCTAAACCTTCTTCATTGTTATTGCATTGCCTTTTCAAATAAACTTAAATCACATTCAAGAAGACTATATGTGATCAATATGTTTTCAGTAATTACATGATTCCTGTATGTAAGCTGCAGAATCTGTTGCAGGTGGGAAAAAATTGAAGTCAGCCTAGAGGTTGCCCTTCATTACATTGTGAAGATTCCATCAGCAAGGATTAAAAAAAAAACAAAAAAACTTTTTATTGTGAAGACACTTTCTTTTCTGCAGCTCTAGAGGCTTTTGTTGTTTATTCAGCAGCTGTTTCAGTACAGAAACAGGGAGTTGCTGAAAAAAAAAAACATGGAAATGTGATCTCGTGACTCTAAAAGTTACAGGTTTATTTCTGAAGGATGGTGATAATTCTATTAAGGTATTTCTTTAATTGACCAAATTAGGTTGAGCTTATGCAGTTAAAAATACGTTTTTGTAGCCTACACATAGCTAGATCTGTCTGACAGCATCTGGGTATGTTCCAGAATGATAAGAGGAGCTTGTTTTTCTATTTCAGAACCAGAAAAGCCTTGCAAATTTCTGAAAATGACAGCTTATCATTTGTAATCTTGAATTCATTATTCCTTTGACTATTTTTTTTTTGTTTATTTGTTTTGGAACAGTAATGAACAACTCTCCCAGTGGGATAGCCCAATGCGGGTAAAGTTGTCGGTGTGGAAACCGTGCGTTAAAACTCTGCTGATTGAACTTCTGCCGTGGGCTTTGCTTATCAATCAGTCCAAGTGGGACCTCTGGCTGTTTGAAGGAGAGAAGATTGTTCTTCAAGTACCTACTGGGAAAATAATTATACCTCCCAACTTTGAGGTAACTTTGCCATTGATGTTAACAGGCACAGTTCTGCTAAACCACCTGATTCTGAAGAATGGTTATTAATGCAGATGATTCCCACTTTCCAGTCACTGTTAGTCATATGATGAGCAGAAATACAGTAGAAATTTGCCACGCTGGCTCACTGAGTGGGTAGCACAACATACTTGATAACAGTGTTTGAAGAACAACATGTCTTAAAGATGCATAGTTAAAAATTGTCACTGCAGAAGAAGACCTGCACACCATCTGATTCAGCAGCCTTCTCCCTCTCAATTCAGCAAATGAATCTGCAACATGGGCATAATGTAGCAGCCCAGGTAAATTGCTGTAAAGGCCAAATATAGGCTTTGGCCCCCGCTGTACTGACCTGTCACTTGGGAAGTGGATTGACCGCAGTAGCAAAGCTGACCATCTGGAAGGAATGTTTGGTTTGAGAGTGGTTTAGGTTGAGTTGTTTCATAGTTCATATGCTGTCAAGAAAGACTGGATAATGAGATAGGGTGAATTACAAATGAGGAAGATTCTTTAGGGTACCTGTCTTCCTGAATTCAGAGTTTTCTGTAATGGATCTTCTCACATATTTTAGCTTGGCTATGCTTGTGCTTTTTTATTACAACCCCAGTATTCTTTCTTTTTGAAAGAATTAAAATAATTTGACACAGCAGCTTGTCAATTCCAATTCCCCTCAGGTATGTTATTGTTAATAAACAAAAGGTCTCCCTATTGACATGTCTCACTGTTACTATCTCAGTGTAACTGATCTTCATGGTCTTGATTCCACCATGAGCAATCAGTCGTATATCCACATTGTGGTTTCATCTGTTGTACCACATAGAAAGAACTGGAGGGAGACAGGGAGGAAATGAGGTTGACTTTATACTGGAAACTACATTTAACTCTAGTAGAAGTGTATCAAATTGCCAACAAGTAATAATCGGTCATTTTTAACTTGCAGGAAGCTTTTCAGGTTGGAATATACTGGGCAAACACTAATACTGTGCACAAATCAGTGGCAATTAAACTGGTTCATAATGTGACCTCCCCGAAATGGAAGGATGCCGATAATGGGGAAGTAGTAACATTGGATGAAGAAGGTTTTGTTGAAGCTGAAATAAAACTTGGTGCTTTTCCAGGTCATCAAAAGGTTAGAAGAAAATTATCATGATTTGTAACTTTATTGTTTAAAAACGAAGTCAAATTGAGAGTGAAAATAATCAAATATACACAGTGTGAAAGCTCCTCCCCAATTATGTTAATGAGAGTATAAACAATGTGTGAAGTGTAATTTAAGGAATTAGATCGCCAGAAACATTCTGCCCCACTCATCAAGATATTGCAATATTTCCTGGAAAATAATTAATGAATTCTCCATCTTGTTTGGAAAACATTGACAGATGCAACATCAAAAGTATTTGATGTGGCTCCAGTTACAAAGTGCATGAATATAGGTGGGATTTCCACAGTTAAAAAGAAAATGGCAGTTCAGCCACTATATTTTATGGGTTTGTGTGTGACATAATCATCTTTTTTATTATCTTACAGTTGTGTCAGTTCTGCATTTCTTCAATGGTTCGACAAAGTATACAAATTCTACAGATAGAAGATAAGACAACAATAATCAATAGTACACCATATCAAATCTATTATAGGCCACAGCTTTGTATTTCCAAAACCCACTCAGAAGAAGAGGTAAAGCACTGTGGATACTGTTTTTGTTTGTCATCTGCAGTATGTTTAGATTTGTATGCGTGAACAGAAATCTTTAGACATAATAGTGCTAAAGTATTTTATATCATTTTAATTTAAAGTACAGAATCCTGGGTAAATTCAACTCCAGTCATTAACTGGGATCAGAAATCTGTGCAAAGCAGGAGATTCTTGCACACTGCAGAATTAGTTCTGCCTGTTCTCCATCTGTTCAGGCACTAATGGCCATTTCTGTAAAATGGGCAGCATAATCCGTAGTAGCTGTTGAAATTGTTCTCAGAATTTTTACTGAGTTCACGTGTAAAAGAGGTATATTGGCCTGGCAGGCTGAAAACTTTTTGTTATGCTTTTGGGAAGATTCCAGTTATCTGAACAAAGCTGCAGAACTAGAGACGTGCCCAAAGTTTATGTATTTCAGCGAACTGCATCAAATCATGAATATCAGTTTTCTAATAATCGCACAGTGTATATAAGGACTAGCTTGCAGGAACCAAACTATATGCATGGTCGATATTTTTAATCAACCATTTATACATATTTATTGAAGATTACATTTATAGTAAAATATGTGGGAAGAATTCTCCGGGTGAACTTGCTGGAGGAGTTGGCAGATGAACAAATTTTTTAAGTTCCCTATTTGTTTTGTTTTCCTTCTGCATTAGTTTTCTTCACATCACTATCTACAGTTGTGCATCACGCATTTTGTGGCAGTCTTAAAGGATGGGGAATTAGAAGAATGTTGACGCTAAAACCTGTTTTTAGCTTTGTGTCTATAAATGGATTTTCTTCTCACAGTTTTATTACAGTGATGTAACTATTGCTTTTGGTAGAGTGATGTAGACTGGACTGTAGATAGCTGTGCTTATTTAATTGCATAAGTATACCTAAAGACAGATTTTGGCCAAATAGCTTTTAATACAATGGACTTAGTGCAACCTTTAGTTAGTTGTGGTCATTAGCTACTTGAGACTGTTCTGTGCAAGGTCACCATGAATAAACTTTCTGTTAGAAGCCAGTATGTCATGCTACCACTATCTTTTTTCTTCCCAGGACTTCCACTCACCAGACAGTACAGTGTTCAGTGTCAGTCCAGCTGGGACACCACCCAGTGAGGTGCTGAGTGCTGTGCCCTTCTGGGACCTGATGTCAGACGCCACTCCCTTAACTTCAGGGGTACCTCTTACTGAAAAACGCATGCTGCTGAGTTTCAGTCCAGGCGGCTGCACTGGGAGCTGTGAGCTGTGGAGTCTACCAGCTGTCATTAAACAAGAGGTCGCTAGACAGAGCGTGGCAGTGCCCACAGGGGTCCGTAGTGAAAGTGGATTTTGTACCAGGTACTATATGCTGAACAGTCATGAATAATGATCTTTGCGTGTTGCTATAAAACCTCAGCTAGGAAGAAACCATAAGACATTAATGCAAAAGTCAGAGTAACACATGCCCCCCATATGTAGAGGCAAGCCTTACTTTAATTTAAAAATTGTTATCTTTTGATGGGTTTGATGCTTTTATTATAAATGGTTTCATGTTATGACCGTGTACAAGTTGTACAATTTTTATAATGTATGGACTGCTATTTTTTTATATGCATACAAAATAAGAGCATGAAAAGGGGTTTTTTTTGAGATTATGGTCTTTTTTTAATTTGTGGGTAACAATTTAAGAGTTCAAGGACAGGGTGAAATAATACAATACAGAAATTTAGGTTTTGTTTATAAATGGTAAAAATACACTTTAGAAGAATAATAAGAAGATAAACAGGAAAAGCAAAAAAGGAATAAATCTGTTTTGAGACAAGGAAAAAAATCCACGTTTTAGAGCTTGAAATAATCCAAACGTGCATTCTACTTACAAACAAATACACCCAGCTAGTTTAAAGTAACAGTCCAATGACTTGTCAGATGCCCAACTTCAGTTCTCAGAGCTCATATCTGAATGTATTCATCCTTATACTGGTATAAACAAGAAACAATCTGCTGAAATTAGCGAAGCTACATATTACCAGCAATATGATCATTCTCTTGCCTGAAGTGCTTGATATCATTCAAATCCTCATACCATTCCTCTGTAGTCTTAAGAGGTATCACTGTGGAATCTAAAGATTCTCATAAAGACTTCAGATTAAGAAAAAAATTAATGGGAAGAACAAGGAAAAGATTCCGCATGTTTGTGAGATGGATATAGAGAATCTCATGTTCCTAATCCAATTTTCAGAATGTTTGGATTTTTAAAATCACCATGAGATGAAGTTTCTTAGAAAGAGACAGTAAACTTGCAAAAGAAAAAGATGAACTTGTATTTATGCGTGAAGACATTTTATGTAGCTAATAAGTAGAACTAAACTAATTTATTTTCATTTTGGAAATTTATGTAGTGATGATCCATAAAATTAACATTTGAAGGGGCAATAGCATTGTGGATCATTCCAGGGGAGCAGTCAGTTACAGATTTACTAAAATATTAAAAATATTTGTTAAAAATATCTTTCATGTGTATCAGATAAGTATGCGTGCAAATTCTTCTGGAAAATTTTAAAGATTTCTGTTGAAAATTTGTGCCTACAGTCTCATGTTTTTAATTTAATATAAATCTCTGCTGGCCAGGGCTCTCATCTTGTAAACACACATGCTTGATTTAACTCATGAGTTGTCTCTATTAAGTGATTTCTCTAATACTGGTTTTCATGCTGTTTCCACGCATTTCTCTGTTTCAATACAATTCTCAGTGCAGATGTGTACTTGCCTAAATATTTATAAATATCTGTGAATAGGAACTTGATGATAAAGAATCTTAAAGATGCTAATTTTGAATGGTTCTTTTTTTCAAGGTAATGATATGTTTCATCCCAAACATGCTTAATCAAATATATCTGCTTCTGTTTTAGAGCTATAGCACTTACTTACCAAGAGTATCTTGGCGTGACATACCTAACACTTACAGAAGATCCTAGCCCTCGTATAATTATTCACAATAGGTGCTCTGTTCCATTGCTTGTAAAAGAGAACTTCAAAGGTAGGTAGTATGCAGAAACAGTGCACTGTTATAGTATAGATTATTTTACTGTATCTTCAATACCAAGTTGAGTTCAGTACGTGTTTTGAATACAACAAGAACTTGATGCCCTCATAAAGGTCCATCTTAAACTGAGAGACTCTGGAAGATACTGAAGCCTGGAAGCTATTGGAGCTAATCATGAGGTCAGGAGTATGAACTTACCTTACTCCAGACTTTTGGGTCTCCCTAGTTCCAGCCATCAAGGTGACTCAGCTGTAGGAAACCAGTAGGCAGTAGAGTCTTGTTGACATCTGTTCTATCCCATGGAACATTTCAATTTCCTAACATTCACAAGTGTAACACAGAACATTAATGTCAATTTAATGATCAGTAAAATATTATTTATGTAAATCTTAGTGTATTAAAAAAGAAAGGGAAAAACCTCAAACATATAAAATTCCAACCAATAGAAAAGTAATGTTTTTATTTGTTAGTAATATTTTAGACAGAACCTTCCTTGTTTGTGTAAGCATAGGTGAGTTTTGGTTTCATACAGGTTTTAGAAAGACCTAATCTTGTATATTTCATGATATTTCAGATACACCAAAGTTTGAAGTTTATTGTAGAAAGATTCCAGCTGAACATTCAGTTCATCATGAACTTTACCATCAAGTTTCCAGCTATCCAGATTGCAAAACAAGAGATTTGTTGCCCAGCATTCTTCTGAAAGTGGTGTCATACGATGAATTAGTAAATGAATGGAGTGATTTTGTGGACATCAACAATCAAGGAACACAGGTAAATCATTATAAACTATTTCCTAGTTCACAGTATAAATGGTTGTCTTCCTGATCTGCACTGTATATTGTTGCTCTGCAAGCAGCATGCTCTGTTGGCTAACTGAACTCCGGTGGGTTTAGGTTTTTTTTACTGAAGTATTGGGAGCTCTCCTTCCTCTAAGTGCTGTTGGCTTTTGGGGTGTTGTTTTGGGTTTTTTTCTGGGGGGTAGGGGTGGGTTGTTTTTTTTAAATTTTTTATTTTAATTTAAGTTTTGGGAGTTCTCCTTCCTAATGCCTGTCCTGTGGAAGTTTTAGAATACAGATTACCTTCTCCACTGGCTATTTTTAAAAATAAGTAGATAAAAATACAGGTTTTCTAGCACTGAATTTTTTCACTTCTTTATCATCAACGTGGTGTTCCCTGGGAAAATCAATCCTGAAAATTTCTGGCCCCTGTAAGCAGAGGATCCAGGAAAATCCTTCTATTTGGTAACTTAATTAACACAGGATTTTTATCTTTACATCTTGTAAGAATCATCACTGTCATTCTCCCTCTGTGTCTTCACAGAAGCTACTCATGTCTTCCTAAAACAAAACAAAACAAAAAACCCGTTTTACTTCCTTCTGTTATTTTTCTCCTGTTTTGAGGTAAATGAAAACTTCCTTGACTGGAGTAATTCTTTTTGATGGGAATTTTTTCCATCTTTGAAGTCATTAGTTTACATGGAATCAACATAAACTGCTTGGCTCTTTGAAAGAAATACTAGTTTCAGATGTTTTCCCTGGGGACCAATCACAAAATGCTCTTGATTATTGAGTGTTATGTTATATTGCAAGTAGTTCAGTTTCATTCAGCAAGCCAGTCAAGCAATGCAAGGTTTCAAATTTCAGTCATTAATGTTATGCCAGACCAGGGTTCTTTATAAGTATCTGGCTCCTACAAGGAATTAGATGCTAAGACAACATTTGGGGATCATTGTCTACTTGAAGAACTCTCCAAATAAGAAGTTTAGCCTTCTGTTAGCAAAGTTTTAGGGTTTAGATGTAGGGAATTTCCCCAGGATTTCTCAGTCCATCTTTCTCTTAGGAAACTGTAAATTTAGGTAAATAAGGAATATGCTAATAGCTTCACATACTTGGTTCAGATTGTGAAATAACTGGGATTTAGAGGATCATGAGTAATTTGTGCTCTTTCTACCTGGTCACAGATAGGTACTTATTTTATTCAAAAGAAAATGTTATTAATGTACAAAAATTAATAACATCTGAAATTAGCATTAAAATTTCTGATCTTTGAGATCAATAAGGGTTTTTTAGAATAATGAGGATGTATGGAAAATTCTGTAAATGTCCTTTTTTTGTCCACTTCCATCATGCAGGACTGCAAATTTCTTTCAGATAAGCAGAGCTTTAAAACTGAAATATCAAAATTATAAATTCTCTTATATGTAATTCTCAGAAGAATAAGACATAATTTGATAAATGAAATTTAATTATCTGTACAAGGTTGTTATATATAGTGTAATGAGAATCAGTTTAAGTGCTGATCCTACTGAACTTCCAGGTGCTTTCCTTCTGGTGACTTGTTAACAGCAGTTAAGATTCTTCAAGGCAAACAACTGTTTATTTTACCTGTGCTAGCCCACTATCTTTGTGTTATTCCTTGAGTTTGTATTCCTTTAAATTATATCTTCTGTCATTACAATCCAGTAAACAATTGTGTTGATATTAGCCGTAAAAAAAAAAAGCCAGCTTGCTCTAACAAAGACTGCTAAGACTGCTGTGACTTTTCCAAGCCTGAAAAGACTTCAGTCTTTTGTATGCTGGAAAAACACAAAATTTGCTCAGAACCATTGTAGAATTAAGCTACAAAAACAATATATAATTTCTTTACGTGGAATATTTATTCCTAAGGACTTATTCAGAATGAAAGTTTGCACATCTGTAAGCAAGACACAAACCTGTTGTCAACTTCCCATTTTCCTGCGTTTTTAAATGTTTAATGCTTTTTAATCCTTTTGCTATTTCTTTGTGCCATCACCTTGTTGATGAATGTGTTCTCTCAAAAATGGTTTAGATGGCTTAAGAATCTGTTCACTGTTGTTAAACAAGTCTTCATGAATCCAGAATGTTACTTTAATTTTTAGTCTTCGTTTGTTCTGCATCATGTATCAACCACTCATCTAACCAGCTCTGAGCTAGGGCATAGCAGCATAACGTTAATTTAGGGTTGGTTCTCCAGAGGAGGTGTTATTGTGCAGAGCTTTAGGAATATGCCTTTCTCCTTCATATAAAATCACAAATTAAAATTTCCTATTTATTCTCTTCTCATATAACCTCCCCCCTTTCCATCACGTCTTGCTCATATCTGGAGAAAAAGTTTCTTATTAAAATATATTCAGTTATGCAGTTAAAGGATGAGGTGCAAATTTCATCATGCTGTACAACTGAAATACTTAAACTGTCAGAGCTGTTATTTTCTAAAGTATTGAAATCTGTTTCTGTTTTTCCTGATCAGTGTCATGATTTGAGTAAGAGATCTCAACCAGAAGGCACTAATAGAATTAATTCATATTCTGACATTAAAAATAGTAATTTCAGTGGCATTCCATATGTTTCTAACTCTCTTCTGCAGATTGTGTTCTTAACTGGCTTTGGCTATGTTTATGTGGACATTGCCCATCAGTGTGGAACAATAGTCATAACCTTGGCCCCAGAAGGAAGAGCAGGACCCGTCGAGATCAACCTCAACAGGTACATAAAGCACATAAAACATGATAAAAAAGCATTGACTGGCCAGTCAGCTTTCTAAGTGTTAACTAACTTACAAACTTTGGCTTAACTGTTCGTTTTGTTTAATACTGCTGCCTGCACTGTGGCATATGTTTAGACCAGATGTTATGCTTTGTATATCACAGTTAAAAAAGGACAATCTAACACCAAAGTCATGTCACTTTAGGGTAAACACTTGATGTCTGATACAAAAAGAAGTCCAGTGTTGTTCATCTAAAAAACAAAACAAAGCAAAAATTTCCCTTCATAATTAATTTTGAGTGTGTTCATCAATATAAAATGTATTTAGCCAGGTCCTGCCATCTGTGATTGCACAAGCTCCCACTAAAACTGTCAGGAAGCTTGAAGTGCAAGGGCTGTAGAAATAGTCTTCCAGTCAATAATTAACTGTACTTCATTATAACACTATTCTTAGAAGATTTCCCTGCTTCTGTAACACACTGCAACCTCAGCTCCATTCAAGTGCAATTATAACACTACCTCTTTCTAAGATGCAAAAAACCTGGCCTCCAGCAGTGCTGTTACAATTACAGTGGAATTTGTTGTACTGGTTTTATTTGCACTGTAATTAAGTATTAATCCCCAAGAAACTGGTCATCAGCAGTACATAATAGCCCATTTGCTAGTTAAACTTGGCAATGGACAGTTAACACTGGAGGAGGGAGGCTGTCAGTGCTGTGGTGGCTTCCTTGGAGGATACTCACTGTATGTGACATGAAATAAATTATCCATAATTGTAACCTTCAGTAGTGACACTCAGAAAATATTGTAACATCTGAGGCCGTATGTGAATTATCAGAAAATTGTCATATTGTCTGCTTTAATATCTGGCTCTGCTGCAAAAAAAAAAAGGAAATTACTGTTTATATAGAGATGTTCCTGTCCTGTTGATTGATAAGAAAGAAAGAGAAACCTGGCATAGGTGGAAATACCTGATTTCTTAGAAGACCTCCTGGGTGTTATCCATGGTGGTGGTTGAAGCTGCCAGATCCCATTAACAGTAACAGGACTTGCATGATGAGTTTCCCATGTATTATAGAGAACATCTCTCCTGACAACTTTCTAGAAAGCAAGATGCTGGGTGAACTCAAAGTACATGAAGTAACAAAACTTCTTTTCCTTCCTGCCTAGAAGTCAAGAGCAGACCCTATCACTGAAAATGTTCATCTGTCAGTTAAGTCTTGCCGCATTTGATGATATTACAAACCACAAAGTGTCATCTGAACTTCTGCGTCTCACAGCAGACCACGTTTTCCTCCACATGGCCCCAGCCACCAGCTACCTGAGACCCCTATCGCAGGAGTTCCAGCGGGACGCCGTGGAAGGCCTCCCACAATTTCATAGTCTCCAAGTGTATTGTGAAGACTTGCAACTAGACAATCAGTTGTACAGCAAATCCAATTTCCATTTTGCAGTCCTGCTGTGCCAAGGAGAGAAAAATGAGACTGTGCAGTGGTCCAGAGTGAACAACCTCATTGTTTGTAACAAAGATTTGGAAAGCTATAAGGAAAACTGTTTTATAAAACTCTGCATTGCTTTTTCTGAGGAAGAGAATTTCATGTTTCACATAAATGACCTCAGCTTTGAACTCAAACCAGCTAGGCTGTATGTGGAAGACACTTTTGTTTACTACATTAAGACTTTGTTTGATACGTATCTTCCAGAAAACAAAACCGCTTTTCAATCCGTGAATACTTCAGATACTACCCTGATGCTGCCTGAACAAGTGAGAGAGCATGCGAGAGCTTTAGTCAAGCCAGTGAAGCTACGAAAATTAACAATACAACCTGTTAATCTCCTTGTCAGTATTCATGCTTCATTGAAACTATATATAGCCTCAGATCATACCCCTCTCTCTTTCTCTGTGTTTGAGCGAGGACCCATCTTCACCACTGCCAGGCAACTTGTCCATGCCTTGGCCATGCATTATGCTGCTGGAGCACTTTTCCGAGCAGGTCAGTACTTCTCAACCTGTAACATTTTTATTAGGTACCAGGATTCTGTGACTGTGTCTCAAGCCGAATAACCTCGATGTTAACCATACGTTATTGTTTTCCTCAGACACTCTTTGATAATGATATTTTCAGACACCTTTCATGTTCTGTCATACGACAGCAGGGAAATAAAATGGCTGAGCAGACACAGTGAAGGTTTGTAAGGTTGTGCTAAACATTAGCCAGCCACCTGAAAGCTTTACGAAACCCTGAACACAGCAGAAAAATGTATTGTAGCAGGCTTAGGTTTTGTCATTTTATATTATAGCACTAGTCAGAACCAACCCACATTCCTCACATAAACTCCCCAAAACTATATTTAATCAAATTATTCAGCATGTTGCTCTGCATTCGTAAGTAAATTATAGCCCTGAATGTGTTTTTGTTGTTAAAAGTCCTTTTGGTTACAGTTTATGATTAGGAATCTGTCTTTCTTCATACAGCCTTCATGCTATACTGGCACACAGATGTTTGTTGTCCTTTGATCCAGGAACTATGAAGTTTTGCTGTTACTAGCTTTTTCCCATATAGCATCAATAGTGAGCAATTAGTCTATTAGGTTAGCAGGTACATTCTGTTTCCCATAAATATTAATTTAGAAATAATGAAATTTGTTCTCTGACATGGCTTAGTCTAGAACAGAATTTTTACCTGGGACAGGAGGAAGCTCCTCCATGATCACACATAAGTAATGTACTCCACACTGAAACATGGGATTTATTTTCCTGCAGTAGTAATGGTCAGATTTTCTGGAATCCTGATGTGCTAGAAGCATAGCTGTGACCTGATTTCTGTGCACAATTACCAAAATAGTACACATACATTTCAGGTATTTATAAAGAGAAATAGTGAGATGTTGATCTGGTCTTTCTCACAGTTGTGCACCAGAACAGTGTGCACTGATTCATTATTTTCTTGCATTATTTTGCTTGCAAAAATTTGCAGGTTTTTCTTTTTACTACTTATTTGGATTTGGTTTACAGTCAAATCCCATAGTACAAACGGGTATATGTAGTTTCTTGCTAATTAAGAGTGAAACTATGGCCCAATGTGAATGTTTCTCCCCACAACTACCTGTGAGTGGTGATACAAGTTGTGATGGACTGTAACAGGATATTGGGGTTATACTGGCTTTTCATCTGCAACATCCCAGGTGAGGCACATATGAGAGTTAGGGATTCCTGAGCCTGGTCTTGGTCTCATCTCTGGTGCTACCCTTGCAGTGTGCAGTGCACAGGCCACCCCTTGCCCTGGGTTCATGATGCAGCTGAAAGCAAGCAGGTTTAAATATTATGAAGTAAGATTTGCTTCAGTGGAACTTCTCTTCAGGAAAATACATAAGCATATATTTAGTCACTACTTAAACCACACTGCAAGCACTAAAACTAAAATGTATTTTTTGAAAGGTTACTATGATTAAAATGATTAGTTGTATTGATTAATGTTTGCTTGGGCAAAGAAGATGCTGTATTTTGAAGAGTTTGTGACACTTGTCAGGAGGCTGTGTCAACAAAGTTAAAAAGGAGATAAAAAAAATTAAGCAAAAAGCTTTACATAGTCTGTGCACCCTGAGACCTTCACTCACCATCAGGTGAGTTACACTTCTTGGGTTGATCTGCTGTGGAAGAGGACTTCATTCTCCTGCCTTTTAGCCACATTAATCTGCAAAATGATGGGTTATTTGACCCGCTTCTCACCACTGTCCAATGCATAAATCATTGTAGCATCTGCACAAATGGCATTCCCACACAGCTGTGCCTTATGCTCCAAGCGGGTTATAGTCTCATTTTGCCCTTAGCTGTGTGAAGGATCATTGCTGCCCTATGGGAGAGGGTAGGATTGACCCCACAGCCTTCTAAAGGGGGTGTATCATACTGCCCCATGTATTGCAAAGGAGTGGCCAGAATCTGTGTCTTGTAAGCAGTGAGTGGGGCTGGAGAGTTTTGTTCAGATATGCTGATTAGAATTGCTTGTCTCAAATTAGCAAACCTTGCAGTGGAAATCTCCCATCATTTTCTAATTAAGTTGGCTTCTATTTAAAAGTTAATAAACTTCTATTTAAAAATATCACTGGTATCAGCCAGATATAACCCTATAGTTGCCTATAAAGAAAATGCAGTGGTTCTCTGCTAATATAGTCATACTAGTGGACATAATTACTACGCATACCTTGGGGAATGGTAACCTGACATGATACTATATTTCTGCAAAGTAAAGTGGAGCACAGAGCTTTTAAATGGAGGGACTATTCCTGATTCATCACTCTCCTATTCCTAATTTATTCCCACACCTTCCTCCTTGGTTTGGGTGGTCCATGCTGATAGTGACAAGCTGTTTGGTTTGCCCTGAACGTTGACCAAGGAGGGTCACACTTGCTGCAGGTTGCGTGTTCCTCCCATGTGCTCTCCAAGGGTGAGCATGCGCCTTCCAGAGCTTCCCAAAACTGGCTGCCCGCCAGCCAGGGCCAGACTGTCACAGCTCACCCCCAGGATACCAGGCAACCCCTCAGCCTTTTGTTTAACTGGTTTCATGCCTGCTTTTAATGTGGTTTAAATTCCCGAACACACTGGCTGGTCAAACAGGTGAGTGGAGTTGGAGTCTCCTGTGTTCCAGCCTGGCAGTGTCTGCTGGGGGTGTCGGAGGGCAGCAAGGCACTAAGCTGTGGTGTCGTGCAGCCCCTTTGCATCACATGAATCACACCACCTCAGGACAAGGAATGACAAGAATATTTAGAGGGTGGAAAAAAAAAAGGCTGTAAGGGATTATTTTAACATTATTGATCTGAGAAAGCAGAAAGAACATCTCTTCCATGTGTACACACCTCCCCACCCCTCCAGCTTTTCAGCACTTCACACAGTGGCAAAGATAATTTATTAAAAATACTACAAGGAAGGAGTACAGGCCCAGCCTGAGCACTGGCTTCCCCTGTGCTGGCAGGGAGGGACTACCAGGGGATGCTCCTTTCCAGGGCAGGCACCACGGGGTCACAGTGCTTGTTGCCGCCTCCCTTGTTGCATTGCCAGTAGTACTTGGTTTTCGTTCTCGTAGTCCATCCCACCCTCTCTCTTATGTCTACTGTCCGCTTTTTATTCTACAGATACTAGAGTTCTCAACCTGCCAGAGCTGAAATGTGGGACACATTCAACAAGAATAATAGGTTTTCCAGGAGCTTAGAATGATAGTATGAGATTAATTCATTTCATATGAGTAACATTTTCTCTTCTGTTCAGTTTCATGATTCAGCCTTCCACAGGAGTGACTGGGAGGGGCTAATAGAAAACAAGAAAAGCATCTGGATAGCAGGAGTTTGCAGTGATGAGATGGGAGTGAGGAGGGCAGTGCAGATCAAGGGCCCTCAGCGGGAGAGCAGGAGGACAGTCTGTCCATCTTTCAGTGTCCCAGCCCTGTCACACCCTGTGTCATTCTGACAGCACCAGCTGGAATTCATGGTGCCAAGGCTCAAAGACCAGGCAGTTCCCATTTAAAGTTTATTGCCATTTCTGAATCGTTCTCTCAGGGCTGAAAAATAAAAGAAGTTATGCAGCACTATTTCCCTAATAAATCTGCTGCCAACCAGCCTGAGAAAGACAAGACCTGCAAACAGCTTTCCAGCAACAGATTGCTGTGCGCTTGGCCATCCAGCAAGCTGCTGGCAACCCTGCATTTATATAGGAAACCAGATCTGCAGATACTTCTCCTGGGATATGCATAAGGAATACTCCCCTATGAGTAACCTAATCAGCATGTAGATGTCATTGCTGTTTACACAACTGTACTGAGCAGAAGACATTTGTCTGGCTTTCACTGTGCTCTGAAAGAAAATGATCATCTTAGAAGGGCTGGGGTGGATTTAAAATAACTTCTTAAGCACTTGTCAAAAATCTGCATCACTTTGCTAACACTCCATCGAGCAATTGACCTTCACACTCCCGTAAAGCAGTACATTGTAGCAGTGTAAACTCCCTGTCACAGTTCTATAAGGATGTGAAATCACCATGCTGCCTTAGAGCGTCTAAAACCGACCCGGCGATCTGAACTTGCAGTCCCGTCCCTCTGTAGCTGTGAGGCTCTAGCATCCACCTCCCTAGCACACTTTTAGCAGAAATACGGGAAGCTCCTGGAAGGAAGTCATTCTAAAGCTATTTGTGAGTTTGCCAAAAGAATTTCTTTGATTTACAAACTATGAAAGATTGCCATTTCTGAATTCATAGTGGATGAGTTATTTCCTGTGTTTTGCTCAAAGGAAGGTTAGAATGCAATGAATACTAGTGTGAAAAAGATAATTAAGGAATAACCTTTTCACAACTGCTTCTTCTGCAGTTTTTGCAGCTGTAACATGTGTCTTGCTTTTCCACACAGGCTGGGTTGTCGGATCGCTGGAAATTCTTGGGAGCCCCGCTAGCCTGGTGAGAAGCATCGGGAATGGCATAGCCGATTTCTTTAGGCTCCCTTATGAAGGGCTGACCAGAGGCCCGGGAGCATTTGTCAGTGGAGTTTCCAGAGGAACGACATCATTTGTAAAACACATTTCCAAAGGTAGAGCTTTCACTTCGTTGCTCCAACTACTGCTTTGTTGTCAGGCGTTGTTAAAGGATGTGTTAAAGTTTTAAACAGTATTGCTTGCAGCTTTGTTTGGCTTGCTAGGCTGCAGCGAAGTGCTGGGAGGGTAACAAAGCTCACATATAACATCATATGTATTAAACAGATCACCGCTTAACTACAGTGCATAAGAACATTTCAGAAACTTCAGAATTTTAAACCTCCCAGTGGGAAATGGAGGTTGGCTCAGCCGGTATTTCATGTGATAACTGCAGAAATATTAAAGGTGTTCTGTACTTCTGCTGACCATCAGAAATTCTACATTCTGTCGCCTCATCATATTTATTATTCCTTTAGAAAAAAAAAAGAGTAGATACAGTTGTCATAGCTGTGTAAGTGTGCGGATGGGTTTTGACAGCGGGGCTGGGCTGGCCTGAGAGCAGGAGCAGCTTTTGTGTTGCAAAGTCTGTACAAACAGTGCCATCGCGTGGCTCTGCCGCCTGCAGAGACCCCAGCGGGACCCTGCTGCTCCTCCCGGGGGGGTCCCTCAGGACACCTCCTCCCCAGCTCCTCCTGTAAATAGTTGTTCACCTTTCCATCACACACACCCACCCCCTCCCTTTGGGTCAGCCCTACAGAAGTTTGGGACCTAGGGAAGGATGTTTGCATGTCCTGCTGTTCCCACTGGACAGGCAAACCTGGTGTAGGCTAATGTAAAAGGCATGACGTGGACTGTAGAAGCAGTGTGGTGATGCTTAACAAATAGTAAAGCTTGTTACACATGGGTGACTTTTCAGCTGACTTGCTGTTCTCATAAGCTCAGTATTGCAGTGAGGCATAGAACGCCTCCATGTTTTAAATTAAAGCATTTTGATCCAGACCCAAATGTATATCTCCATGTATTTAGGTACACTGACGTCAATTACCAATCTGGCAACAAGTCTTGCTCGGAATATGGATAGGCTGTCACTGGATGAGGAGCATTACAACAGACAAGAAGAATGGAGAAGGCAGCTTCCAGAGAGCCTGGGAGAAGGACTGAGACAGGGGCTCTCTCGTTTAGGCATTAGCCTTCTAGGTAACGTACTATTAAATATCAAGTTGAGTGATGATACTGTTTCCTGATCTGCTCACCAGCCTTTTCTACATGTGAGTTATAATTGCAAATTCTGTTTATTTTGGTGTTTTCTTGTGAATCAGCCTCACGGCATGTATATGAGATACTGTTTCTTTTTATCAAGGTTTAGTGGCTTTTGTGTATGTTTTTTGCTGATAAAATAATTGCAGATATAGAATGAGTTTGCACTCTCTTTGCAAAATATTTTCATTGGTACGTGATGCATCTCTAAGTAGAAAAGAATAATTCTGCACAGGGCAGGGTGACTTGTAACTAAGCACAAAGACGTCATCATGCTGATGTTTACTTTCCAGTGAGTTATAGGAATGCCTTCCAAACCTGCTTGTTTTTGCTGCACTGTTGATATCGGGGATTCTTGGTTTTGTTTGAAAACCACTTGAACTTAGTGCAGATGTTAAGTAAGCTTTGGTGAGAAATTCTGCTTTTACAAAAAGACCCAGATCATCCTGATTCAGTGTAACTGTATTCACTGTAGCCAAGTGGTTTGGTTAGTTAGAAGTGAAGATTACTCTGGCCTTTTCAAAATAATACCTAAAAATTTGAAAACTAACCCACACTGGAAAAAATCTCTGAGAGAACTTTTGCAGTAAGGGGCTGTATTTTCTAGGTTTCTTCTACTTGTCACACAGCAAAGGAATGCAGAACTGTATTGTTTGGCAGAGTTCCTCAGTATGTATTAAAGAGTATGAATCCCTTCGAGATCAAAGTGACCAAAAGCAGTCCAGTGCAAAAGGTTAGGAGAGCTGAAGCTTGAAAGGATTTGTCCTCTTTCATAATCTTCACTAGTGTACACAACTCCCAAATTTGCAACCGCAACCCTGAAAGCCCCAAAGAGGAAGTGGTAAAAATGTTACAAGTTTGGGTTAAGTTACTGGAAATTATTTTGAGCAATAACATCAAATGATGTGAAGCACTGTCATTTGCTAATGCCTGTAAAGCAGCAAGCAACTGTCCTGGGAGAAATGTATATAAAGGAGAAATTTTATGTATTAGTAGCTACTTTCCCAATAGTAAGCTGTTACTGGTATTGCAAATCAAAGGCACTTGGGGGAAGGTTTTATTTTCCCTTCTTGTTTTATTGGGCTAAGGGCAGTCAGGTTGAGTAGCTGGATGAAAGATTACACTTTTAGAAGCACTGTGTCAGCTGGTGTGTATGTGCTGGTGAAATGGTTTGGTGATCTTGGCTCAGTTATTAATAAAACAGTGAGATAAAGTGATGTTTGTCCCCTTCAATGACACACCAGAGCCCTTTGGGACTAGAAGCATCAGCTATATAGCCTGAAGAGCAAAACTTTGTTGCTTTGGCTGTGACAAGGCAAAGTTTCTACTGTTCAGGAGAGCCAGGAACTTGTACCATGCATGCAAAAAATACACTGTGCCTGTGCTTCCCTGCGCGCAAGGCTTTTCTTGCCGCCGGAGTATGCCCGAGTTAAAAACAAAACCAGAAAAAAAGAGTTAGAATTTCAGTGTCTCTGAGTTCCTAGGAAATCAGACTTCATGTTAGAAGCTTAGAACTTCATACTAGCACTTAAAACAGTGCTCCTCTGCAAGCTAGGATCTTGGTCTTACTCCTGCCGTTACTAGATTCCTGCCTGCTAGATACGTCCGTTCTTAGCAGTGGAGGCACTGAAGCACCCAGATAAATAGCTACGGATACTGTGTATACAGACTCGACAAATGTGGGACCTCTCACTAAGGGAAGAACTGGAAATATTCCACTGAATTTGTATCAGGAATAATTATTTTTATTTAAACCTGATTTTTAAAAGGCATGTTCTCTTTGTATGCACAGCAGCATTCATGTAAATTGTGTCGAGACCTAAATTATGAATAGACCTACATTTCAGATTTTACAAACACATCAGAAAGCTGTTTCTGTCCTGACCATTTAGTTTAAAGAATATTGTGGCTTCCCCCAGGAAACAGTCGTAGTTGAAGGGGAGGTATCACTGTACTGCTTTCTTTCACCACCGTGTTCCGAGTAAACATGAAGATGCTTACTCTAAAAATACTTCCAGGTTCTTCATACATAACAAAACGAAACTGCTATCGGATTTTCCCTCACAATGGTGAAGAGTTCAGATGAGCACAGGAACGCAGGGAGCAAGACCTTTTAAAGCCATAATTTCTATGACTTCCTACTGGCAAGAATTGAGACATGTGAAAATGATTTCTGGGATAGTCACAGGACTGTCATGTTTGTAAAAGCCATCTGACTCAGGCAAGCAGCTTTAAGAATTGCAAATGCAGATTTCACGCCTGGGCACAGGCATGTACGAGCCCTTAGTTCACTGATACATTGTGGTTATCTACACAAGAGGAAGAGTTGCATTTCTGATTTTTCTGAAAATCTGGCTCATGGTGGCCATGATTCACTTGAGCACATGCTTAAGTGCTTTACTGAACGTACTCTTGTATCCTCCTCAGTGCAAGTTGTTCCCTGCGGTACATTCTTAAGTGCTTTGTCCTGTCTCATTTTAAATGACTCAAGCACTGTCAGGGTGTTGTTTGATTTGGTTGTTATCTTTGGCTGATTGTCATCTTCTTTTCTAGTTTGAGGGAGACTTCTGGATCACTTTAGTAATGTTTATGCATGAAAATAAGCAAAAGCTTATGGATAGGTGTGTTTTTTCTTTTATATGATTAGACAAAAATGCAGTGGAATTGTATTTAAAATATTTAGATCATTGGCACTCCCCACCAAGGAACTGTCTTTTGCATTTTGCCTGACGGGGTCAAGCTTTAAAATAATAATTTATAACTGTATAAAAGAGGATATGGAAACTATAAGCTTTGTTTTCAACTACTGGTCCTAGTGAAAATACCATATTGAAGTAGCTCCCTTTAGGAAGCTGAGCATTTGAGAATAACCAAAAAGCTGACAACAACTAATAGAAAAGCCATTTTTCACAATTGCAAAAATGCTCCACATTTCAGTTACTCCTGCCTGTGTTTGGGAAAAGTTACTATTACTGATAGTAATAGTGACTGACAGTGTAACTGTGCTGCTAAAGAAGGTAAAGCCTGGATTTCGGAAGTTCAAATTTTTGATATTGAGGGTAGTGGTTGTTGTTCTTGCTGTGCAGCTATCACTGAATCAGAGCCACTCTACGTTTGCCTATCTAACAAGCCAGATACTAAAAGCCAGTGCTAATTCTGAAGGTGTGTGCTATTCCACACACTAATTCTAGAGATATATTAATGCACACCAAGAGGTGCTCTTTCCTTTTAGCTGTATTTTTATGTGATGTTTGCTGTGATGAGACAAGGCTTCAGCCATATTTTCAGTATGAAACACTTGCAGCAATCCTGAAGGACAACAGAGAAAAGAAAAGGAAGCAAAATGGTTTCAGCTTGGCTATGTTCCAGCTTCGTGGCAACGCATGGCCAGTTTCTGCTGGTGGGGGACTTTTCCCAATTATTTCTTGGTCTGAAAGAGTTTGTCACAAACAAACTGGGCTTTGCCAAGTTCTGTAAGCCGTGCTACGTTTACCAAAGGCTGTCAGTCTGCGTGCAAACCAGTTGCTGCCCGTAATCAGATTCTTCTTGAAGTAATACAGTGATATACTCTGAACTATCTGAATTTTGTAGTTATCAAAGTATCTTTTTTATGGTTACTGAGCAACATGTATTAACCAGAGTGCACCCCATCTGATGTTTAGCAGATGTTTTGGTGTTGCTGGAACCTCTTTGACCAGTAATGGTAGAATATGTTTTTGTTTTGCTGCTTTGGTGTTTAATTTTATTGAGGTTTTCTTTATACATACATAATCTGTGTGTACATATGTGGACACGCATATAAAATTAAATGCCTAGGGTAGGGAATGAAAATAAAAATGGAGAATGGTTTCATTTAAAAACTAATAATGGGCAAAGGACATTACAGAGAAGGGACAGGGACAGCAGTAGGACACCATAGCTGCCTCCAGATTGTGCTTCTCTGATACCCTACTGAAATCTTGGGGGAGAGACCTTCTGTGGTAAGCCCATCCAGCATGGCGCTGCTACCACTAACGTTATGTTCTAAAGAAAGAAGCCACATCTGCTTCACGTAGTTCCTGGTGCTAGGAGATGCAGTGAACCTCACATGTGTGTCATCATTTTCTCACTGCTGTCAGTTTTGAGGTTGCTAAGCCTTTGACCTTTTTAAGGGTTTTTTCTCCTTTGCCCACACATGATGCACCCAGGAAAGGAGCGACACATATCCAGCCTCCCCATGAAAGGGCGGTAGGGCCAGCCACTCTTGAATGAAAGAGTAATGTTATAGCTTATTATGTGATTTATGGGCATGGCAACAGCACATGAATGAGTTGTCAGTGGGTTGCAGTTTGAGATGAGAGGTTACAAAGGGTGAGCAGAGAGAGAGGAGAACATCATTGGTTACATTTTTTGCAGGTAGAAAGACAGGACTTGCAAAAGGATTTGAGGTACAAAAGGGCAATGGCTTCACAGATGAGTTCAGAGCATGCGTTAAATGGCAGAATAACAGAAAGTGTGGAAGTAGTAAACAACTGGTTAATTAAGCTATATGTTGTTTGGGATACTATATAAATAACATTATATAACACAGTCACAGTAGTTTCCATTCTGTTTCCTTGTCCTCTGGGCCTAATTCCAGCTGAGAAGTGCCTGGAGCATACCACAGGTCCTTTGGAGTAGACTCTTATTTATTATTACCTTATAACATTGCTCAAGTGTATTGCAGTAAATAATTTACTAGTGCTAGGACTTAGGTGGATTACATTTAATAAGGCAATAACTTCTGTTCTGAAAGTGCAGTTGCTGTGGATGACCTCAATAGATAGGGTGACGGAGGTCACAGGGTAATGTAATACTGTAACTTAGCAGAACACCAAGTATTGTTTTATGTCTTCAAATGCATCACAATTGTACAAAAGAAAAGACTAGATGAACAATCCCAATTGTGTAGTGTCGTGTTGGGGTATTATTTTAGCCGAGCAGCAGGAGCAGCTGGTGAGTACTAATGAAACAGAATTGAATTGAATATTGTATCATTTCCATGGCATGGCATTGAGGAAGCTTCATGGCCTTTGTGGTCCACAGGGTGAATGTTCAGCTGCATGCTCAGCTTCACTGAGGGAGCTCAATAAAAGCTGGGTATCACATTAAAAATAGACCAGCATATTCTGGGGAAACACTATGTGGAAGTTGGAAGCAATCTCTCTAAGAGAGGGAGGCATTTATAGGGGATGCAAGTTTCTTGAATTGCCGATAGATAGTATCCCAGGGACAGGGATTTAGGGAAATGTGTGCTGCTTCTCATCCTTGTCTTTTTCTTTCTTTTTTTTTTTTTTTGGACAGAATACCAGTGTACAAGTATGATATTAGTTCTTGTTATTCAAAGTCAGCAACTTCTCCGTTTATCCAGTAACAGTAACTAAAACCATCTGAAAACCGGTTAGCAGCTAGCTGACTAGTGCATTTCACGCTGGTAAACACATGGGGCCAAATACCTCAGCTGTGGTTGTCCGAATCTGTGGAATTATGCCTGGATTTGCTTCCACATACAAAGCCGAATCTTCAAAGATGTTTGGGTTGCAGTAAAAATGCCTGGTTACCAAGGTGATACTGGGTCCTACTCCCTAAATAATTGTTTTATCTTGATATTGGCAGCTGAAGGTACCAAGGAGCCTGCAAACTTGCTTTTCACTGAGCAGAAAACCTCAGATCAGGCAGACTGTTTCCTAACTGATGTCACTTTGTCCAATCCTTGTACTCTTAGTGATTTCCAAATAGCTTATCTATCAAAATTGCAATAACTAGAGACACGTCTGTGGTTAAGTGGCTAGCATAAACTCAAGATCAAAGAAACGTACCACCTCGCATACCTGTTTACATTTAGGAAGATTTGAGTCGGAGTTCTCTGTTGATACTAAAAGCTGGGAAGGTCACCGTGTCACTTGTAAAAGTTTGACCCATGCACATTAACGTAAAATATGATCGTTTTCACAAAATGGTAACAAAAAGTCTCAAAGTCTAATTCTGCTAATCTTAGTAATATATCAAAAGTTGCATTAGCTTATGAACAATTCTGGCAGTGGAAGAGGATATAAAAATGATGTATTGAATGCAGGCAGTTTTTATTCTCATGAAGTCAATCTCAGGCTTATATGAAAATCTCATTTCCATAGCAGCTCTGGTCTTCTAAAACTGGTGGACTTTATTCCAAGCCCAGCATTTTCAGAATTGCTACATAAAATGAGCTAAATTAAACTAACTCAGCAAAAGCATTTAGTGAAAGTAGTTGAAAGATGAAAACATACTGTCAGGTTAAGTGATCTGAATGTTTGAAAAGTAAAATATGTTTTAAAAAAAAAAGGAAGTTGAGATTTATCTTAAACTGAAGCTAAGGTACTGTTTAGCTAATTGGTTACATGCTAAATAGCTGTAATAAGAAGAGTGGGGTACAGTCTGTAAGCCAAGCAACATTCACGTCCAGCAGTAAGATTTCCTCTTATCTGGGATATTAATCTTCACTAATTGCTGGGGACTCCTGTTTTTTCAGGTGCAATTGCTGGGATCGTGGATCAGCCAATAAGGAATTTTCAGCGAGTATCTGAGGCCCAAGCTTCAGCTGGGCATAAAGCCAGGGGCGTCATCTCGGGTGTGGGGAAAGGAATCATGGGGGTCTTCACAAAGCCCATTGGAGGAGCAGCTGAGCTTGTCTCCCAGACAGGTTATGGTGAGTTTCTGTATTTCCAACATCTCCATTTAAATTTTAAAATGCTTTCCAGGTACAACCTGCTGTGTCTTTCTTACCTGGCTCAGTAGCTGCATGTCTTAGAGAAAGGTTATAAATGCCACTGCTGAGTAGTTATAAATGTTGTGCTGGTTTTCTTAAAAGCCATCCGGTTGTGCTTCTCTCTTGTGTTACTGATCAGTGTTGTATGGCCACAGCAACACAGAATGCAGAAAGCATGAAGTAATTCTTGGAATACAGTAGAATTAGTTACAGAAACATATGTGCTTACAAAAGAGCTTTTGACATAGTATTAAAGCAACGCTATACCCAATTAGAGTGTTATTTTGAGATTGCTTTGTTATGGCAAGGAAAGAGTTGTGCTATCTCTATGCAAAGAGAGAGTTATGTTCCTGGGAGAAAGGAGTGAATCATGTAGTGGGAGCATCCCCTTTAAACTGCAGAGGTGTGAGAAGACAGTCCTGGTTTTGGAGACACGAGTAACCTTTCAACAACCAGAGGTGGGTTTTCCAGCTAGACTGAGCACTTTGTGGCAGCAGTGATGAATCCTTTCAAATTGATGTGAATACTTCTGAATGACCAAAAACTGTAAAGGATAAAAATAAAATAACAAAATACACTAATTTCTTTGTTTCCAGTATCCATAAATCAAAGCTGTTGGTCTGGATATTTAAAAGGGGGTGGGGGTGTCAGGAAAGAAAAGCCTGGAGACCTGTTGATACAAGAACAATGTGTCAATAATTTTGCTTCACTAATTACACAGGATAAATCTTGAAGATTTAAACCTTTAATCGCTAGCAATATTTATGTTTGTGATGTTGATTAGAATATGAGTAGCTCTCCCAGGTCTTAAGTTTGGGATATTGTTTCCACGCTTCCCATCACATGCAGAACTCATTCCGTGAAGCAATATATTTAAAGAAATAATGAAACAATTATTACAGTTCTTTCAAATCATCTTGTTTGTATGAGTGTAAATAATAACCATTCTCCTGAATTATGCATCCCATAGGTGTAAAACCTGTTATCAGTAAAATCAGAAACTTCAGTCTGTTGCTGGCTGCCTGTGTGTTGGTTTTGCTGCCTTCAGCATTATTCTTTGTAGATTTAATTCTGCTGCAGTCTTTATCAAGAAACTCGTAACAGTAGAGGGACACTTTTCATGGCAGATAAGATATATGAGACATCATGTTTTCCATGAGCATGTGACGAAAAGAGTTAGCCAGGAAAAAACATAAAAACTGTATCAATAATAGCTGACAGTGCGTGAGAGGAAAACACACAGAGTTCAAGTAACTCTTACCCACAACTGGATTGGAAATGGGACCGCGCCTCTTGGGGGGGATCAAGGGGTGGGGGACCACACAGAAATAAACACATGTTCTCTCTTTCTCCATCTGTAAATAACATTTTCACGCACATAATGCTGAGAACCTCGGTAAGCCAACTGTTACAACTGGGATGCTGCTTTTAAGTATTACCATCAACATGTGTGCTAAAAATTTGAGGGGTTTTTTTTTTCAGTGCTGATGTTTTGTTTAAATTATTATCCATTGTGTAAAAAGGAATCTGAGTTATTGACACCCTTATGCAAAAATGCCTTTTGCTTCCATGGAATGCTTAATTAGACAAAAGAAAATGTCTTTGTTTATTTAAAGAGTAACTTTACACTGAGCTGCCTCACTGCAGTGCTTGCTGCATAACCTACTTCCTGTCTGCCTTGTAAAATTTTTAAAACTACTTAATTTGTTGGTTTGTTGGTTTTTTTTGCAACTCACTCATTCTTTCTGGTGACCATACCTCATCTTTAAAAGTTTCCAGGCTATCTGAAAGCATGCATACCGTATCATCTTCCGCTTTGGATAGTCTGTTTAGAAACCTGTTTAACTGCTGCTTGTAGTCTCTGTTCTGTGCTGGCATTAAGAAGAACTCACAATAAACCAGATGCCCTGGGAGATCTCATAAATGTGTATGGATCTGTGTTTAACAGCTGGATTAAGAACTGAATATTTAAGTACAGTATCTAGGCAAACTTGCCTTCTAATTTGTACCAATCATGACACGTATATGGAAGCATTTTAATATTAAGCAAGAAAGTTAACAAAGGTCTTGATGTTTTCTAAATAAATACTAAGTGATGTGTCCAATCCTACTCTGAAATGATGGCTCTCAGGAGCATTGTGTTTCTCTTGATTGCAAGTGTATGGCTGGTTTTTAGAACACACAGTGGGTTTTTTTGTTTCCTGCTAATGCAAGAACACTGGGGTTAAGTGCACAACTCTTGCATTGTAATATTTAATGAATTATCTTGACTACAGCTTCAAAGATGTGACAGAATTTTGGATCTGCACTATTTTATGAACTGCTCTAAACAGATGACATCACTGCAACACGTAACTGTTTTGTAGAAAACAACTACTAAAAAACTTACATTCTCTTACCACAGGTATTTTGCACGGAGCTGGACTTTCTCAGCTTCCCAAACAGCGCTCTCATCCAGATGATCAACGTGTTGAGCAGGCTCCAAATAGCCACGTCAAATACGTCTGGTAAAATTATTTAGACACTTGCTCATTTTTACATCCACATTGTTTATTAATAGGTTCTGGCATGTGGTCAAGTTAACAGGCTGCTTCCCTAGGAAAGGCTGAGTTATGGCAGTTTGTTTAGGAACATTAAACACAAAGGTAGTGCATAGAAACCCAATCTGCAAATGATGGGCTGCTGATCTGCTTCCAGCTTTGGAACTACAGAGCTGATCTTTATTTAATGGCATTCAGTGAGTTCTTACTTATTTATCATTGCACTGAGCCCAAGAAAAATACTGCACATCTCCAGAAACAGCTGTTAGTGAAGATAGCTTTATTTTCTGTGCTGAATTTGTAAGCCACTTCTCAGGGTAATTTTTCTATTAGGATGGGAAATAGGCTGACCTAGCACAGTTATTAGGCCAATTTTGCAGTGAAAGATTAAGGAGTTTTGATAAGTAACATTCACATTCATTCTCTAGATCTTAAGTCTTACATCTTTCAGTAATGGAGATTTGAAAAATACTCCCTGGCTTACAGTTTGTAGATGATAGCTGCAGGCTTAAGTGTTCAAAAGAAGTCCTGGAGGAGCCAATGCATAACACTGACTACTTTTTTTTTCTTCTCCTCCTCTCCTCCTCCTCCACCCTCCCCTTGATAATGCAGGAAAATGCTGCAATCTCTGGGGAGGCCAGAGGTCCATATGGCCTTAGACGTCATGATAGTGAGTGGATCAGGCCAGCAGCATGAAGGCTGCTTGCTGCTCACCTCAGAGGTACTCTTTGTGGTCAGCATCAGCGAAGACACACAACAGCAAGCATTCCCTGTGACTGAAATAGATTGTCTGGAAGATGATCAGCAAAAAGACCTGCTGAAAGTGCAGCTAAAACAAGAGAGAGTGCCTTCTGATTTGGAGGTAAAGACTTGAGTAGGATTTTTTTTGGAAGATAAAGTTACACCGATGATGAGGCTTTTAGCAGTGGGCATACTCACCTTTGGGTCGGGAGGCCAGAGGTCTCAGTGCCAAACCAGGAGACCTGCTGTTTGCATGCACCTCATGGTTGACCTTAGTCTTCTCCCTTCTGTCCTCTTATTGATCATGACATTTCATATTTGTGACAGCAATAACGTAGAGGAAGTCTGGGTTCTTGGTAAGCACCATCTCTTTTCTGAAGAGGTTCTCACAAGTACATGTGCACAAGCTGTTTATTGTTTGTCAAGTTACAGGCTGCCTGTGCCTACAAAGTCACAGTGAGAACAGTTCCTTTTATTCTTCTGTGAAATCTAACAGCTCCTTTCAGCATGTTTCTTACCTTGCCACTTCCAGTGCAGTGGTCTTGCTTGGCCGATGGCTGTATTTACGTGCTTAGATATTCCTTCTTTTGCAAATGCTAACTTTAAAATGAATCAGTTCTTTTGCTGAGGTTGGATGCACCAAGAGTTTGCCAGTAAGAGCACAAATCCTTCATCTGCATATTGAAAGGTCTCTAAGCCATTGGAATACTGAGGTTTTGGATGAATTATCTTCTTTTAATGGTAGAAGAATGTTATATTTTTACACTTTCGGGAAACAATGTTTATTGTGTTAAATTCTCAAGTGGAATCATATGAGAGATCATTTCAAAAGCAAACACACATATCCCAGTTGTTGTTTTTCTAAAACTGTGGCAGGTATTTCATAGACTGCTATACCAGAAATTTCTCTGTTTCAAATACAAGAAAAGAACAGGTAACACCCCATAAAGCATGAGGTGTGCCAAAAAGGAGGGGAGGCTTCAGCACCTTCAGTAACATCCTAGCTTCGCTGAAGTCACTGAAGAGTTTTGCCATTGATTCCAGCACAACAAGGATTCGTCTGTGTCATGGCAGTGCTTAGATTTCTTTTGTGAAAGCTTTTCTTAGTGGTGAATTCTCTATTTACACGTATTGTCTTTCCACTAACCTCAGTCTCACAGAGTGCTGTTGAAGTTGCCTTCTCTCACCACAAAACTACACAAAATTTTGATGCAGGTGGGCGAAGCTCAGCTTTTTTTATCCCCGAGTGCTGAGTGGTTGCTGGAGGCACAAATCAGACTGAATCCAGACTATCGTGCTCAGTCCAGAGCTACTGTCCTGGAGGGAAGAGGAATACAGTTTGTTCTCCCTAAGGCATTCGATGCACTCAACCCATCGTAACCCTAACTTCAGCACCAGCCCAATCTTTTTTTATTAGGCTGTAGTGTGATGGCTCTTGTCTGTCTTTGTATCTGGTTGTCCAAGGGGTGAGGAGTAAGCTACTGCTCTGGAGTTAGGGCTGCTTGCCCAAAAGGTTGCTGAAAGAGGGTGATGAGGCAGAAGGGCTGCCTGTTTGGGAGAAGGGAAGGTGAGGGACAGGGAGCCTAATTCTAGTCCCCATCACTGCTGCAGCTGGGAATGTACAGGACTTCTAGGCAAGTGGCTCCAGTACATGCACAGTGCAACCTTACGTGGCATGTGCAGACCCCAGTGTTCCCATATTCACATGCTAGTGCGAACAGTAAATGGGACCTGCTTTGGAGGCCCTGGACCAAATACATGGGGTTTTTTGAAGTTCTGGGTAGAAATATGGGAATCCTACTCCGGCAGTGCCAGGAGCTGTAAGCTTTGAGCCACCCAGCCTCAGTACACGATCTCTTTTGCTGATGCAGGCTCCTGGGAGTGCAGTGAAAATGTATGACAAGTCACAAGCAGTGAAGGGTGCCTGTGCCCCAGTTGTGCAAAGTCAGTGATGACAGAACAGCAAAAGCTGACTGATACTGTACAAAACAGACCTGGCAAAATATTCCTTCAGAATGCAGCTGCTGCTGCTGAAATTTGTGTGAAAATCTAAAGAAAGAAATGTGCTATAAGGAGGAGCAGTTGAAAGTAAGGCAAGCAAAAATAAGAAAGTTTAAATTTTTTTTATGCTAAGGCAGCTACACAAGAAAAGATTCCAAAAGCTTCATAAAGTTTTACCAATTACTTAAACTAATATTCTTTTATATAAAGTTTAATGTAGTTTATTACTTAGTGGATTGGGAAATGTCATACTTAGTAGCTTCCTTTCTGTGGTGCTTGCACTGCTATGTGCAGCATTGGTGCTGGTGGGAGCTTCCCAACAAGAGCTTCTAAAAGCTCTTAGAATGTGATTAGGAAAAGGAACCTTAGGAGCAGCATGCTGTGACTTGCAGTGAGCAGCCTCAGAGCTGGAGACCTACACCTAAACAGACCTAACTGTTAATGGTGGCCATCCTGTTGTACTGAAGCTGCCCTCAGCTGAAGTGCAGGCACATCTGTACATGATTACATTAGTGAAGATGGCCAGAATTTTTAGCTGGAAAATGCCCAGTCAGGTCAACCAAAGTATTATGACGAGCTTAGCAAAATGGAGGTAATGTTACCAAATGTAAGTTGTGTCTATTTTTCTGACTGATTTAGTCAAAGATTGAACCATTTAGTTTCAACATTATAAAAATCCACCTTTTTGTGTTATTGCTCGCAAAAATAATTGCCAAAAGTTTTGTTTCAGCTCTGCCCAAACCAGTTTCTTTCCTTCCTTCTCCTCAGCTTCTTGGAACTATTAGGAAACAAAACATGAGTTATTCTACAGCTGTGATCACCAGAGATGTTATAGAGCATATTTTGACTTGTTCAGCAACAGGTTTGCCTGATGGCTTGTTCGTTTCCACAATGTATGTATCTTAATCCATCTGGCTAAGAATAGCCTGGATAGAATCTTGAAAACTCTGGCACTGACAACATTGTTATTGAAAGGGAAGCATTAATTGTACTTGGCTTATCTTCCAGAGTAATTGAGACACTGCTTGCTTCCAGACAGATATCAGACTCAAAAGGCCTGTTCTTCCAGCTGCTCTTGGTACAGCTCTCAATGTCAAGAAGACAACAAAAAAAAAAAAAATGCCCCTGAAATTTCAGATATTCCAGAATTTCTTTGTGATGTTCTGCAACAGGGTTTCCATGATAATGCTACATGTTATCATAAGGCTGGAGCTGAAAACCAGTCTCTGGATTTTTCAAAGCAGTGAAAAAAACCCTAAAGCACCAGAGTCAGTGTGCACAAAGCAGCCCCCCAGTGCCACACACATCTGAACTGCACAACAAAGGTGCTGTAGCTACTGTAGAGTTAGAATTGCTGAAGGCTTATTCTTTATAGGCTGTAATGGGATGAATTTTGGAAAAATTCTGGATTTCTTATCACAAAAATATGGCCTTGTAGCATGACAGCACATCTCTTTAAGATTCCTCTTGCAGGTGCATTAAGCAACTCTTGACTCACTTTTGATTCATCGAATGGTCTGGCTGTTAAGATTGTTCAAACTAGAGGGCTCAAGCACTTAGTGACAATGTTAAGTCCCATTTGGAAAAAAAGTAGAGTAAGCACAATTCCAAGTTTGTGGTGTTGTCTTGACAATATAAGGTAAACTGAAACTGGCTGGAGAAGTAGATAGTTGCAGATAGTCATCTGGAAGCAAGCAGGGTCCCACTTACTTTGGAAGACTACCCAAGGGCTGTTAATATTTCCTCCTGAATAACTATGTTGTATTTGTGGGATATAGCCTGGGGATGAATGAAGAATGGGTTTGCAAGAGCAGGTGT